ATTTCACTTTAAGTTCCAAAAGTGTACCAGTTTAGCAACAGAAAACAGACTAGGGCCCCTATTCTTGAAAAAAAAAAACGTATACGAAAAACTAGGGAAATACTATAATTAATTAATATACGGACGATGAAAGCATTATTCAGAGCGGTATTTTATGAATATCGAGAGCCCGAGTGTTAATCTTAAAAGTTTTTATTAAATACTATAATGTACGTAACGTATACTGTAGTATTTCCCTAGACTGTTGTATACGTTTCTTTTCAAGAATAGAAATCCTGGGGATCGATTCTGTATCTTGAAACGAGGAAAATTGAGCGAACAAAAGTGAGCGAATTTATTAGAGTACTGATAATTTCATTGGACAACGCCTAGTAAATTTGCTCACTTTAGTAATTTTTACCTGGTTGGAAGATACAGTAATCGACCCCCTGAGATGACGTTGCAAAAACCGATAATTTTTTACAAAAATCGTTGAATCACTCGAGAAAATTTGCAGATATAAGGTTTACATGGGAAGGAACCAATCATATTAAAGAATCACCGAGCGCGGTCAATACCTCTCTCGTCCGCCGCGACGCGGCGCTTCGAGAGGCGATTTCGCGCCTCTTTTGATATTTCAAATTCGCGACGGTTGGCGAGCGCGTTGTGACGTCATCGCGGAAGATCGTGGAGTAGAAATCGTTCGAATCGCGTCCGCGCGTTTAATTGTCCGCGATCGCGATCGATTTTCAGAAGCGGATTCCGCGTGCGGTCGAGACGTTGTCTCGCGAGTGTTTTTTGTGAAACGCGCAAGATGTATATATCGCGCGTGTCGAACGTAATAACGAAAGTGTTGTGCGACATCATAAATCTCGGACGACGGGATTCAGGGGACCATCCGCCATCGAATCTTTTCCGCAACGAACAACGTAGCTACCACGACCGTTGCCAGGTATCCTCATTACATTCTGGAATTAACATCATTAATATTTTCACCGCGAGTTTCGCCAGAATTTTCGCCGGAGTCGAACTTGTCCTAAATTATAGCGAATTCGGATCACTTAGGCTACGCCGCTAGATCAGTGCACATTAAACGTTGCTGTACATGAAATTAGCAAAGTAAAATATGGCAGTATATAAATATTTTAAACAATTAACTATCTACTAATGATATTGTCACATTATTTTACGAATATGTATGTATATGTATAATTTCATTGTCAAAGTTGATTATATTGTATAATGTATAATATTGCGTTGAGATATTTTATATAAAGCACTAATTTTTTTAATGTGCATTGATCCAGTGTAGTGCGAGTGACTGAATTCATCATTAGAGATCGTCAATTTTTCGCGTGAAGTTGCACGATTTGAAAAGTTCGCTTGTACATTAACGCCCTCGACAGCTAATGCGTCCAAATCGTGAAGCTGTTAGTCAACCAGAGCTGATGGTAACTCGATGCAAATCCTAAATACTTCATACTAGTCAGGACTTCAGGAGCACATTTTAATTGCATTAGAAGTGATATTGCAAATCACTATTTAAATATTATCCACTATACATTACATTATTCAAAGTCATACATTTTATTAAAATTTATGAAAACTTATATAGTGTAAACTTTTAACCTTTGTAAAAATTCGTACGTCTCACTTTTGCAGTTATACTTTAAAATAATTACAGAAATGCGTATATAACTGATAGAATCGCATGATTACAAAATTATAATTAAAACATTAAAAATAGTTGTTATACAACCAAAGCTAATTATTTTGTATTTGCATAAATAATCAAGAATATCGAATTTTAGTGTTCTTTATTAAAAGAAATATATACAGACGCATCTGTAATTAAAAGAATAAAGAGAATTATTCCACATCTTCTTCATCATCATCTTCTTGACTGTTAATCTGGAAGTATCGTAATTCGTATGTTTCCTTGTCTTTCGATACTACTCGCAACCAATCACGCAATTTGTTCTTCTTCAAATATTTCTTTGTCAAGTACTTGAGATATCTATGACAACAATGTTTTCCAAATTAGTGCAAATATCGCTCTTCCTGTAGCTTATAATAGTAAACTTATAATAGTAAAAAATAAGTCAATATTCATAGTCAATCCTTATTTTAAAACTATCTCAAGATGTAACAAACCAACTAGAGGGACATATTACGATATTATTTAAGACAATATTGAAATAATAATGGACTATGAATATTGGCCTTAATATTGTTTAATATCATAAGGTTTTATCTACTTAATGAAGATAAGATGACACAAATATCGTTTTGTCTTTGTTCTTCATTAAATGCCAAGATAAAATGACATTTGCGTCGACTTGTAACACTAGAATCACAGGTATTCAGTCATTCTTATGAGCTTTCTACAATAAGTCATTACCTAAGCTTGAAGTTTTAAGCCATAAGAAATTGACTAATCATAGTCAATTATTCTTCTTATATTTAACTGTGATTGAACAATTTCTCATAGCTCAGAATTTAAAGTTTAAGATTTATTCATTGTGAATGACACTTAGGTTGATCACAGAGATATATTAGCATCTTAAGACATTATTTAAAATAGTTTTGAATTAAAGATAGATTATCAATACCGGTCTAAATGGGAAGCATCTATAGGCCAGTATTCATAGTCTATTCTTATTTAAAGATTATCTTAAGCAATATCTTAAGATGCTAGTTCAACTTTGTGATTGACTCACATGTTAAAAAACTGTATTTAAGATGGTTTATATGAACTGACTACAAATATCAACTTTATCCGTATATTCTACGATTGTTGTATTAACAGAAACACGATATTACTCACCGCTTAGAGAAGTCGACATCACTGTTGACAGTGAGTTTCATTTTGTTACGTTCCAAGGCAACATTGTTGCCAAAGTTATTAGTCTTACCACCAACTTTGATTTTTTCTTGTAAATATTTTTCCTAAAAAGAGAAAACATCACTATCTTATAATAATCAGTCTCAACGATATAGTATTAAAAAACTTTAGTAGGCAAACAGGCGATTCAAAATAAATCAACGTTAGATTTTTTCGTTACGTAGAGGTTAGGAATCCATGAAGAATAGGTTAGGTCTCTATTTTTTCAATCAAACGAGCAATTTCGAGCAAAATTCTGACAGATGGGAAAAGAAAGTATTAGGAATATAATCTGAAATAATTAAGAATAATAATGTAACTTACAAAATTGGTAACATCCATAATATTATCCTCCACGGGATGCGTACAATCGATCGTGAACCTCAGGGACACCTTTTTCTTCTGTCCCTTACCCCGAAGCACCTGCTTCTTAATCGGGCCTTTAGTTTTTTTTGCCGGCTAAAAATTTGCGAAAATAATCTGTTTAACGATAATGTTACCATCATTTTGTAGGACACGTGGAAAATTGTCCAAGGTGGCGGGATAGGAGCGTACGATAGGATACGTATGAATCGGACTAGATAGAAATGATCTCAACATAAAACCATAAAGCAACGTGTCGCGATTGATAAGTCGGACCCGTTCTTTCCGTACGTGATGTTATTTTCACGAAATTCTGCCATGATTACGAATAATCGTCGCATTTTTGCGAGAACGATAACTTACCGGAGCCATGTTCACGTGTGTCCAACGAATGAAAGAATGCGAGAAAATTGATCGTCATATGGCGCTACAATCGTTTACGCGGGAGCATTTAATTATTAACTGAGAGCGAAAATCTGTCTATAGTCTATTGCGACATATTCGTTACTCCAGATGGATTGGACGGAGTTCAAACAAATTTACATAAAATGTATTATAAAATGTGTTTAATTGTGAATATTAATATATTATCCAAAGTTTCATGAGAAGATTTGGCGATCGTGTGGATAACGCTACAGTTTTGGCAACCTGTGTGTGACTCTACATCGAATGTTCGCGAAATTTAGTTTGGTTTAAGAAGATTGCTGATGAAGATTCCAAAGAGAATCGAAACGTTCAAGATTTTAAGATTTCAAATAAAGATGATATCAACATATCGTATGGATTAACAAAATTATTTGTAAAAGATTTATTGTGTACCTCCGTTCGCGCTGACTCTCATTAGCCCGGATTTAGGTGTTTTTGTTATTGTATTACTTATGACATGAATTCCATTATTTATTTATTTTCACGCAAATAAAAATTCCACAAAAGAATAATTGTCATTAATAATTATAAATGTCGATATAATTGTATATATTCGTTTGTATAAATTCACTATGTCGTCAAACAAATGTTCTAAAAAAATCTGTTCTTTGTAACTGCATTATGATAATATTAACGTTTTAAATAGAAGAAAACTAACATTTAAAATAAAATAAGTAATAACAATATAAAATAAGTAATATCAAGTGGAAACCGACCGAGAAATATTCAACACAATGAAGCGTTACAGTATTGTTTTTTATCATATACAAAACCTGCGCAACGACACAGTAACATTACAGTTACGTCGTTAAGAGTGGCAAAATAGGCTTCTTAATTTCACTTGCTGAATTCGAAAGTCATAATTAAAATAGTCTTAATATGCAGAAAATGCTATTTTTGAACACGTTTTAACTGAAAAGAAAAGAATAATTAATTTTATCAAATTATGATAATTTATCTGTTTCTATAAAAATTAATTCTTTTTTCATAAAAACCGCAATCATTATTAAAGTTATAATTCTTATTTGCTATATAGATTCAACAAGCAAAATTAAGAAAAAAGAATTTAAAAATTTTCGCGCGTGCCCTAAATTGCTTAAAAATAAATGCATAATTTCTTTAATCATCCAATAAATCAACAAGAACCCCGGAAAAAAATTTTTCATATATAATTATATTATAAATTAACATATTTTATATAAAATTATATATAATTCTATTTAAAATATGTCTATATATGAAACAATTTTTCCCGGGATCTTATTCTTATAAATAATTACAATTTATAATTTTAATTTTTTATATTATTATTGTGCAAAAATGTCACTTATTCTGCACTCTAAGTCAATTACCTCTCAGTTACTGGATAAACGTAAAGTTTTTTCTGATATTCTTCTACATTAATAATATAATTTTCTTCAATGTTCTTCTGTTGATGTTCATCGATTATGTATTCCAAAGCAATGGACTGCGCTTTGTCTGGATCAGTTCCTGTAATATGTACACTCAATTTTTTCACATAATTTTCGTCCAACGTGTACTTATCAAACCATTCTCTTAGTTCGTTTATTTTTATTTTGTTTAATGAAAGTATTTCTTTCTCGTGTCTGTCAAACATGTATTGACACTCCATGATCTCATTCCAGTTTCTATTAACTTCTTCTTCAACATTCATATCAACATGTTGCTTCAGTATTCTTAATCTTTCTTTAACATCATCTAAGTCATTTTCTGAAAATTCATTCAGAAAGTCTCTAAAAAATTCCAGAAATCCATCAATCCACTTGTCAATCTGCTCAGATGTGTATAATTTATTTGCCACTGTTTGAACGGCACTAATAGAATATTCTAAAATTCCATCGACATCCGTATAGTCGCATGAAATATGTTGTATAAGATTATTTTGGATTGATCGACATTTCAATGATAATTGTTTTTTCATTATCATCTGAAAACACGTGCGGCTGAATATAACTTGGGGATGAAATTAATCGCAACAGTCTAAGAAGTTACTCATATTTTATTTACTTTATAAAATAAATGAATAAACACCTAAGATTCCATACAAAACCGTGTTATTTAATACTTACGATTATTAGTCTCATTAACATTGATAACCCAATTGACGTGACATCGATTTGATAAGTATTTATCACAACGGAAGTTGGATCACATTTGTTAATATTTTTCAATTTGTAATAACTTGTGCCCAAGGGTATCTGAAAGACTCTATTCGGTTGCATCATACTAGAATGTAAAGAGTCACATTTAAGTGTTTCAACACATTGTTGCATAGACTCGATCGCAGCATCTTGCATTATATTGCCTTGCACGAGACACTGAATGTATAGACGATTGGTAAAAAATTTTGCAAAATTTTGAAATTCTTCAAAACTGACATTTTGTAGAGCATTGTTAATATCAACGTATGTATAATGGGCTAACTTTAGTATCCGTAATTTCACATCCCTGCAAAAAAGATCAAAGATATATTCATTATTGTCTATTTGGCAAAAAAACATAACATTTATTATAATATATTTTATAAAATCAATTCTTTATTTAACATTTATTATAGTTTCTTTCATTTATGTAAGAATTTCATAATATTGTTGCAATTATTTGACAATAAATAGCCAGTACTTAGCGAGATCCTCAGGTTTAGTGAATGTGTCGTTAGAGATATCAACTTGTTTATCTCTGATCATTTCGAACATTTCCTTCGTAACATTTGAACAGTCCATCATGTATTTTATTATAGTTACAAACAATGTCTGTAACATAAATAAAGTAAAAATAATATACTCTTTTTACGCGCGCGCGAAAAGAACTTTGACGCATGCTTTGAATATATACTTACGATCGGTTTATGTCCGGATATTTTTGTTATAATTCCTTTCTCACTAACACTGATGTCATACACATACCCACTCTCTACAGTTGGATATAATTCTTCCACCACTAGAAGTTTTATTATGTTGCAGTACACTGTCATGAGAGCGGCACTGAAATATTATTAACAAGAGAAGTTTTTTAAAAATAAAAGATGCAAATAAAAAATTATGGAAATCGTGTTACTAATTCCAACTTAGAAATCAGTGTATATAGAGTCAGTAATACTGCACGATGTAGTATTATTATAATACTATTATGCTATATTACTTACTTTTCCGGTGACTGAAGTCCTAGACAAGAAATAAAATGTGTATACATAAAAGATATTGGCAAACGAAACTTGGGATCCGGGCGATACCAAAGCTCTGATACACTATCACTGTATAATTTTACAGGATATTTTGGAACTTTTGCTGGCAATGGTTCTAAAGAATGTTTAACATGAAGGTATTTATTCTTGTCCGGTAAATGAAAATCTGGCAATGGCTCGACGGATTTCCAGTGTTCGAGCCATTCCTGTGGTATCTCGATGTCTGTATACCTCGCTTTTGACCATGAATCGACTTTATCTAATTCCAGATCGTCAAAGTCCTTGTCGAAAATTATAATATTCGCAGCCTCTGGCGTCAAGCAATTCAAAATTTTTGTTATAACTTCTGGATCATATTCAAAATAAATTTCGCTTCCAGTTAGATAATCGCGCGACGGATAGTGGTGCAAATTTATACATAAACTGCTCACATTATCCTTTGGTTTCTTTTCACCAAAAAATCTAAAAAGTCCTCGAAGTATAAGTGACGTTATTCACGAATATTTTATTTTTTCAATTATGTTTCATATATCTATTTATTTCTAAAATTAGTTTACCTAAAAGAATTTTCTGAACTCTTACTAAACTCGTCGTAAATTTTTTTCTGTGGACCTTCCTTCTTTAACAAATTAATATAGGAAAATATTGTATCTAGAACCTCCTTTATATGTCGTTTTCCTTCATTGGATAGATCTATAATAATCTTGACTAAGCTGTACGTAAAACTATGTATAGTGTAACAAATATCCTCATTGGAAACGGTAATATTCCACATTTTTTTGCGTAGATAACTAATTAGGGAACCTTTTCCTTCACGTCTAATAAGCCACGATATATATCGATATGGTTTACTTTTATATAAATCAAGTAGCGGAGGCATGAACCATGTTATTTCCAGCTGCAAAAGTAAAATTTTATTTTACATATTTATATTTTTACGTATGGTATAAACATAAACTTTTTTTTCGATCTGGTTAAATTTTAATCACATACTTGTGCAAGATGTGTCCAAAAACGTGTCGAAGTGGAAATTTTATACATTTTTTGGAAAGCGGCAAAATCAAAAGGAACACTATTTATTATTAATTCGGTAGAGTCATCGGGAGATAGTTCGTTAGTTGGTATATTAACAAAACACGTATCAATTGTCACATATTGTTCCAATGTATTCAACGGTAATCTTGCCTATAAAAAGGTGTATCATGTTATATAAATTTTAATCTTTGTTTTTGAAATAAATAAACTGTATTCTGTAAAAGTAATTAATTGTTTGTCGCAATTTTAACAAAATTACCTGTATAACCAGCTTCATTCTGCGAGCACTATAATAGCGTTCTTTGAATTTTTGTAGCTCTTTATATAATTTTGTGTAATCCAAATTTTCGTGCTCTTTTATAATACGATCCTCTGTAATCTGGTTGATTGGATGATTAGTTCGCGTAAAGGAGGAAAGCTGTGGTTGCTCAACTCTTTTCTCCTTGGCAAAATTTAAGGCTGTCTGAAATTCTACATAAATACGATATTTTAAGATTGTTAGTTGCAACAACCGTACTATGAGTATAATCAACAGTGTTATGAGTATAATCTACCTTCTTTTATGTTGTTTCGATTCTGCATAAATGCATCTTTTTCCGGTAGAGGGTTGGTGAAAAATTCAGCAAAATGAATGAGAACTGATAATAAGTGTTTCTCTTGAATGTCAAAGATAAACGACAATGTATATTCGCATTCAAGTAAGGAAGTACAGCTGCCTCCATGTTTATAGGTGAATTTTTCTAAATCATATTTCTGCAAGTAAGATGATTTAAACATTTTAATATACAAATAAATAAATTTTATATCAAATTTATACGTATCATATTTTAGTACTTGGCAATGTTTTTCGAATTCAGTCACAAGGATATATTCGAAGAAAAATGATATGCCTGGAAATTCTGGTGTCTCTTTGAAATTTTCTGTTCTCGCACATAAGCAACATGTTGCCTATTTAAAAAGAAAATATTTATGTACGTATCACGCATAATACACGCTGAATATTAAATGGAGAAATAAACACAATTAATGGAATGACTCGTAAATAATTCAAAATTGAGTAATATATTTTGTAATTAAATAATGAAAAATTCTTCTACAGTTAGTCAAGAAAATCAATTTTTTTGTACTAAAACTTTTAATAATACAATTAAATCTTGAAAAGATATATATCTTCTCTAGGGTCTCTCGGGTGAGACCCGTCTTTGATATATTACAATTTTAATAAATTTTAATAATAAAGTAAGTAAAAAAATTGGTGTAAGGTATATCCTAAAATGCACATTAAATTATTTCGTTCGTACCTTCATTTCATTTTTCATATCTTGATGTTGAGATGAGCGTGTCTTTGAATCTTCATCGGATATTAACAAAGCTTCTAACCCGTTTGGTAATCTGATGGCTCTAAATTTAAAGGACAAAGCAAACAAAATATTAGTAAAATGAGAGGTCAATCATAATCTTGTGCATATTATTAATTATTTAAAAAAATTGAATTCCTGCATTTATCAATAAAAAATACATTATAATGTTCCTTCTAAAAAATTATCGTCACAGTATTTTTCACGCTTATTTCAATCAAAATCGTGCATATTGCTGATCGGTATTTTCTTTCGTCTCACCTATATTCCTTCTTGTCATTCTCCGATGTGACGGGAGTTTTCAGATATTCAACTTGACAACTCTTATTGTCTGCAGTCGCTTGCTCTACCTCTTGCATTATATCAGTCGATATAATACGATCCGATGAAGGAATTCCCAATATAATGTCGTTTCTGGTAGACGATTTTAATCAGTACTCTAACCGATACGGCTTCTTCCTTTATGCCACTTGTCTTCGAACAGAAGTCGATATACGACTAACTTGTGTACATTTTAAGCAAAGGTCGTCGACGTTTACTAACTTGTATTTCTCACTGGTCTGTGAGCCAATGGTCCAGCGAGACAGTTAATGTATTATGTACGGTCTGTTCTTATATTTAATATCGTATAAATATTATCTTAAAATATCGTAAACTAATCATTGATTAACGTCTTAACGTATTATTAAAAACTGATAATTTTAAATAAGATCCAACTATAATTGCCTGCCTATTGATTGTTTGAGTAATTATTGCAATGTTGCTAGACACAAATTGTATGAAAGTGGCCTGAAAGTGGTCCCACATGTGCGACAAACGCTGGAAATTTGAACTTAATTTGACCGAGCTACTTATCGAGATAAAAGACCGTACTCCGCTTTAAAGCTACCTGAAATCTAGCCACACACGTCTGATAATGGTCATACTATGTTTAAGTATAATGAAGTTTAAGGGGCATATACACCTAGCTTGATCAAAACGAGGAATAATTTTGCGATTTTTTTGTGGAAAAATGGGTATAGGCAAAGCCGTCGGATTTGTTCCATTGTAAAGGCGATACTTTTCTCTATTTATCATTACAATTTCATTTAAAAATAATATAAAATGGAGTCGCTATTCAAATTTTCGTACGTCATATTTTATAAAACGGTGACCATTAATTACTGCTCGCACAAGACTTGTTTGAAAGCAAAATGGCACAAATTTTATGAAATTGAAACATAGATCTTGTGCTTGACATAGCCGTTTTTTTAAATATTGCGTTTGAATAAAATGACAGCTAGTCAAAGTTAACATAACGATTAAAAAAAAATTTTGTTCGTTTTTGGCTACAAAAAAAAACTAAATATCGTAGGAAAAAAAATCCTACGTCAAGAACTAGTTTTCAGTATGTAGAAAAAGTGTGTAAAATAGTAAATCGATCGGCTAAGCCGTCTTCAAGATACAGTCTTCATCCATTTTGAAAAACAGTACATTTTAAGAAAAAAGCGTTTAAAAGTTTTACATTCGATGCACACTTTTCGTTGCTAACGTTTTAACCTTTTCAGGACTGCTTTTCCAGACAAGACTGTTATCTTGTACTTAACCAACCGTTCGAATTTTTAAATGCAGCACTCAGGAATGCTATTAAAAAATGAATACAGAAATATCCTTTTTGATCTGCGCGAACTTGGACTGTTTTGTCGCAGGCGCGCCTTCAACGAGCTCAAACTATTCGTCTATAATTTCGTATGACTCCTTTATTTTTCGCCGGATAAATCTGCAAAAATGTTTTTAAGACATTATACTTACAAAATATTTAAAAAAAAATCGATTTTTTACCACCTCTAGATGTATATGCCCTCTTAAAAACAGATTGTGTTTAAAGAATCACGCCTAATTTCTTTTTTTAGAACTGTAATGCTATATTGAATGAGAATCATCGGTAAATTGAGTTGAACTTATATCGTTAACTTTTCCTTCTGTTCTTAAAAAGTAATAGATGAACAATATGCATGGAGTTTAACTGAAAAAATTAGATTAACTGTTAGAAGGTTGTCAATTTTAAACAAATTTTTAAAATTATCGAAGGATTCTGGAAGACCTAGAGATAATTTGAGAGAATATAAATATTTTTAAATTTATATTGTGATTATAAACAATAAATGTTCGAAAATGTATAAGATCTACAAATCTATATAATATTATTCGAAAGATAGAAAAAGAAAAAGGATAAATATGATGTTCATTAAAAGTATAAACCTCGAAATCCACCCTTAATGAATGTGGCATTAATTTAAAATATTTATATTGTATATTATTTATTAATAGTCACTAAATCTGATTTTTAGAAAAAAGTGCTTTGTCTGTTTTTTTATGCTCGCCGGCTGTCGCTGAATCTTAAAATTTTCTTTTCCGAAAGCATAGAAAACGGAGCAGTTAACTTAAAAAGTTGTTAATTTTAAAAACTTCCTCCTTTTCTCGAGAGTATAATATTTAGTTTTTTTATTAATTTATTTAAAATCCAATTCGTACACAATACTTGTGCACACACAGAAGTAAAATATTTGTAGGATCCTCCGTTCAGTTTATAGAAAAGTTTTGCTCAACTGGTGTGCGACCTTTGAATATAAATTTTAAATCGACTAAGTTAAGTACGAAAATTTGTTATACGAGTGAAGAGAGGGAAGAGAAAGAGAGAGCGAGAGAAAAAGAGAGTGAGAGACATATTTTATTGAATACATTTTGTCGTGTTTAGAATACAAATAACAAATATGAAAAATTACGTCATGAGTAAGTACTTTACTTCCTAATTAGCATCCTCCACTATTATCATATAGTATATGTTTTTCTTTTAGTTATTACAGTTGCTTATAATATGTTTCCATTATAAACCTGTATATATTTTCTTATTACAGAAAAGTATCATTTATATACATATAAAACTAACAATTCTAATTTTAATGTGAGAAAATTTCGTTCTTTCAATTTCGAATATTCTGGTTCTGTACCAAAATGCGAAATTCTATAGCTGTTATAATAATAGTTACTATAATAACAGCTATTATTCGTAACGTCTTATCGGAAAGAATATAAAAGTATAATACTTGCAAAAAATTCTCGCATTAATTTATTTCGTAGTTGTTATGCAAGGATAAAAAGCCATCGACATCTAGAATGGACCGCTGATGGCAATGGTGGGGGTAGAAGACAATTAGAGTGAGAGGTAGGAATAATAAGATCGTTCTTTCTCTGTTTACTGTTGTTCTAACTAGCCTGATTGGTTGTTGGATTAACAACAACCAATCAGGCTTCAGTAAACAGACAAAGAACGATCTTATTATTCCTGCCTCTCACTCTAAGCGTCTTTCTACCCCCACCATTGCCATCAGCGGTCCATTCTAGATGTCGATGTAAAAAGCTTAACTTTAATCATTCAACCATTAAAAGAAATCTTCATTATCATGAGACAATAAAAGTTATAATTTGATTTTCGTTATATTATTAAATCGTGAATGTGTTACTTAATTTATCCTCTGAGAGGATTTGTTGGAACGCTTAGTTGGAAACATGAAGAGTTTTTTCTTATAATCTTCTACTTTAGTAATATAATGATTTTTGTTTGGCTTGTACTGCTGATGATCGCCGTTTATGCATTCCAAGTAAACGTATTTCGCTTTTTTAGGAATAGTTCCTACAATATGTAAACTTAATTTTCTAAAATTACATCCGTTCGGTATGTGGTCTGCAAGCCATTCCCGCAGCTTATTAACGTTTATTTTCTTTAGAGCAAGTATTTCCTGTTCGTGAAAATCAAATATGTAAGTACGCTTCACGATCTCTTTCCAGTTTCTTTCAACTGCGTTTTCAATGTTGGCATCGTCCTGTGGTCTAGATTTTAGGAACATTTCTTTGTAAACATCCAATTCCTCTTCTGTGAGCTTTTCCAAATCGTTTTTAAACCATCTCAAAAATTCGTCGATCTTCTTATCAAGGTACTCGGTTGTGTAATCGTCTGCGTCAGTGTAAACAGTAATGAAATATCCTAAAATTCCGTTAATGTCTCTAACTTCGACTATGGGATACGCAAACATATCCTTGCGTAGACGCTCGTGTATCTTATCGTTCATTATATACTGAAAACAAGTACAAGTGAACACATCACATTTTGCGATAAATAGCAATTTCCTCGGAGTTCGGGATTCACTTTAGGATCCTCTTAATACTTACGATTAACAGACTGATTAACGTCGATAATTCAATCGTGGTGACGCCGATTTGATAATAATTTGTTATTATCGAACTTGTATCGAATTTGTTGATACTTTTAATCTTGTAATAGCTTATGCCCAAAGGTATCTGAGTGCCTCTAAGCTGTTGTATCGTATTTGGGTGTAAAGGTCTATAATTAATTGTTTTAATAACTTGCTGTAAGGTCTTGATCGCAGCAGTCGGCGTTATGTTTCCTTGCATGAGACATTGAATGTATAGACATTCGGTAAAAGATTTCACAAAGTCTTGAAAGTCTTTCAAAGTGATATCCTGTAGAGCAGTATGCTTATCATTTAGTGAATGATGGTCAAGATTCAGTATCGAGAATGCCATGTCGCTGCAAGCATGAGTAAAGATATTACTGATTAGCAGAAATGTAACATGATACAATTTATTTTATAATATCAATCGTTACAATTAATATATTAATCATTTATTTTAGTCACGTAACAACTTTATAATTGTTGTAATAATGCTTTATATAATAAACAGTTAGTACTTGATGTAAATCTCGGGTACGCTAACTGCGTCGTAATATCTATGAATTTGTTGAAATTTGATACTTTCAAATATGTCCTTTGTAATCCAGCTTGAATATTGCACCATGCTTAGTGCACAAAAAGCCGCTAAACGCTGCAATATAAATATAATGATATTGTCTTGAAATTGTATTTGTAACTCCAAAGCACACTTTGAACGTATACTTACTGGCAGATTTTCATTATGATCGCTTATTTTTAGTGTAAAACCATTTATATTGACAATGATATCAAATCTAATTTCAGCCTGTACAGTTGGATATAATTCTTTGTCTAATAGCTGTTCCCATAGTTTGCAGTACATATCCATGAGAACTTCACTGAAATGTCATTAATGTTCACGTCTTTTTCAATAAGATGTAAATAATTATATAAAAATCATAATATTGGTAATTATAAGTTAAAAATTGGTATATATATGATATCAAGTACAGTAGTAACTACTACAATATAGTATTGTTATATTTTCTATGCTACTTACTTCTTCAACGACTGAAGTTTTAGAGGGGAAATAAAATAGAAGTGCATATAACATTTCGGCAAACAAAATTCCGGGCGATACCAAAGCTCCGACATAGAGTTACTATATATTTTCACAGGATATTTCTTAATTTTTTCTTTTGGTGTCTTTATTAGATTAAGGTTGTTGGTAAGGAATTTATTCGGTAAAAGTAAATAAAATTCTGGTAATGCCTCGATGACTTTCCAACGTTCGATCCACTCTTTCGATATCTCACTGTCCGTATATGCCGTTTGCCAACATGGTTCAACTTTCATTAATTCGGAATCATTAAAATCGTTTGAGGTAATCATAATATTCGCCATCTCAGGCGCCAAATAATTTAAACATTTTTCTATATCTTTTGTACTACAATTCGAATCAAGTAAGTTTTCAGTTAAATAAGCCTTCGGCGGATAGAAATGCATATTCCTACATAATCGTTTTACGGGATTCTCAGAGATTAGTTCTTCGCCGTAATTATTATATCTAAAAAAACCTTCAAGTATATAAGTGATTTTCCCCAAATATGTTATTGGCTTTTCTGTTCAATCATCTTTAATACATATATTTATTTCTAAAATTACTTTACCTAAAAATATTTTGTTTAATCTCATAAATGTCATTGTAAATTTCTTTCTGCACATCCGCTGTCTTTAGTAAATTGATAAAAGAAAATGTTGCATCTAGAACATCTTTCCGATGTTTTAGTCCTTCAGAAGTGAGTATTATGGTGAGGTATATTAAGTTGTACAAAGAGTTTTGTTCAATCTCGCAATAAAGCATATTTTTTTCTTCTGTAAAGGTCCACATTTTTTGTCGTAGATAATTAATTAAGGAATCTTTTCCCTTATATAAAATAATCCACGGGATATATTGATATGAATTACATTTATAAGAATCGGAGAACGAAGGCAAGACCCACGATATTACTAGCTGTAAAAGAGAAATTTGTTGTATATATTTATTTGTATTTTTTTATGTTGTATAAGATTAGATTCTTTTCTATCTGCTCAAATTTTAGTCACATACTCGTGTAACATGTGTGGGAATATCCTTAACTTTATACATTTTTCGGAAAGCGGGAGTATCAAAAGGGAGATCGTCTTTAAATTTGGAAAAATTATCTGGAGGCATCGTGTTATTTGGCACGTCAGCAAAGCACGCTTTGACAAATTTTTCCATTGTATCCAACGGTAGTCCCGACTATGAAAAGATGTTTCATGTTCTGATTTAACTTTATTTTATAAACAAAACAACCATTAATATAAATAATAAACTCTATAAGTATAATAAATTATTTTTGCGTCACAATTTTAACGAAGTTACCCGTATTACTAGCTTCATTCTGTGAGCGCTGTAGTGGCGCTTTTTAAATTTATTTAGCGTATTGTACAATTTCTTGGAATCTACATTATTGCGCAATTTTATTATGTGGTCCGCAGGAATTTTGTTGACTGGATGACCATTTTGTGCGAAGGAGGAAAATAGTTGTTCGTATCTTGGTTTGGCAAATAATATCCGATAGCCTATATAAGCATGGCATGTTAAGACTGTAAGTTGCTACAACAATGTTAAGATTGCGATTTTTATACCGTTTTTTATGACTTCTAGTAGCTTCATAAATGTGTATATTGGCGTTATAGGATTAACAAAAAAAAGACCAAACTTGTGGAGAGCTAAAAACAAGTTGTTTTCTTTGATATTAAAGTCAAATATTGTATGCTCGTTTTTCACTGTGGCACTAGCAATGCCACCATAGTCAAAAATAAAATTTTGAAAAGTAGTACATTGCTGCAAATAAGACGACACTCAAGTATTTAAATATACAAATAAATAATTTTTACAGTAAATTTATGCATCATGTTTTAGTACCTCTGAATATTTTTTGGGTTCGTCAAAAAGCATATGCTCATAGCTTAAGAAATATGATATGCCCGGAAATTCTGGTGGATCGCTGAAATTTCCTACGTCCACGCATAAGCTACACGCTGCCTGTTAAAAAAATATGAGAGTACATACATCACGCGCATTACCCGTAGTATTAAGTGCAGAATTGAATATAATAAACAGAATGACTAAGCAGTTTGAAATTATATCACACTTTTCGAAATCAATTTATGGAAAATTTTCTGCAGTGCAGGACATTAAATTTTTCAAATCGAACAATATACTGCTTAAATCTTATGAGAATAGATATTTTTTATGATTTTAAAGTTTATTATTAATATTAATTTTAAATATAAATTTTAAATAACAAGTTAACTAAAAAAATCATTAAGTCCTAAAATGCAAATTAAATTGTCTTTTTTATACCTTTTTTTCTTCAGAAGAAGATGTTGTTAAATATTCATCGGATATTAGCAAAGCTTCTAAACCGTTTGGCAATCTGATGGCTCTAAATTTTAAAGACAAAACAAACAATAATTAAATGAGATGTCAGTAAGAATATTGTATACTTTGTCGATCATTTAAAAAATTTAAATGTATTGTGTGATTTCTTTCAAGAGATCTTATTATGTTTCACGTCTACTGCAATCGAAGTCGTGCTTTATACTGCTGAGTATTTGCTCGCGTTTTACCTATATTCCTTCTTGTCGTTCTCCGATTTGACGGGCTGATCCAAATATTTAACTTGTTGGCTCTCCGCACGATCCCAACTTTTCACAACTGGCATTATGTCAACGTTCAGAAAATTTGAATCGAAATTATGTCGATTTGTGAAATACGACTTTATCCGGAAAAGCCTAATGGTTTTAAGTTTTTTTCAACTTGATTTTCAATAGACCTGACACTATTTTAATCAGCACATTAACTGAAAGATCTTCTTTCTTTGCACATATCCTCGAATAAAGGTCAATAGGCTAATGTGTATTATACTTACAGACTTTAGATGTTTATTTATTTGTATTATTCACATAGTGATCTAGAGGGCTGGTATTCATAGTTCGTTTGAATTTAAAACTTAAGTTTTAAATTATCATAAAACATTCTTATTGCATTTGAAAATATTGCTAATTATTAGCATTGCAGACTTATTAGCATTTTAAAATATTGCTAATTAGAAAAAGAATTATTAATTGAAATAAGAAAGTAGTTTTATTAACTGTTTATATTTTCTTATTAAAGAAAAGTATCGTTTATGTATAAAACTAGCAATTCTAATTTTAATGTGAGAAAATTTCGTTTTTTTAATTTCGAATATTCTGGTTCTGTAGCCATATGCGAAATTCTATATCTATTACAATAATAGCTATTATAATAACAGCTATTATTCGTAACGGCTTATCGGAAAGAATATAGAAGTATAATAATTGCAAAAAATTCTCGCATTAATTTATTTCGTAGTTGCTATGCAAGGATAAAAAGCTTAAATTTAATCATTCAATCATTAAAAGAAATCTTCATTATCATGAGACAATAAAAGTTATAATTTGATTTTCGTTATATTATTAAATCGTGAATGTGTTACTTAATTTATCCTCTGAGAGGATTTGTTGGAACGCTTAGTTGGAAACATGAAGAGTTTTTTCTTATAATCTTCTACTTTAGTAATATAATGATTTTTGTTTGGCTTGTACTGCTGATGATCGCCGTTTATGCATTCCAAGTAAACGTATTTCGCTTTTTTAGGAATAGTTCCTACAATATGTAAACTTAATTTTCTAAAATTACATCCGTTCGGTATGTGGTCTGCAAGCCATTCCCGCAGCTTATTAACGTTTATTTTCTTTAGAGCAAGTATTTCCTGTTCGTGAAAATCAAATATGTAAGTACGCTTCACGATCTCTTTCCAGTTTCTTTCAACTGCGTTTTCAATGTTGGCATCGTCCTGTGGTCTAGATTTTAGGAACATTTCTTTGTAAACATCCAATTCCTCTTCTGTGATCTTTTCCAAATCGTTTTTAAACCATTTCAAAAATTTGTCGATCTTCTTATCAACGTACTCGGTTGTGTATTCGCCTGCGTTAATGTAAACAGTAATAGAATATCCTAAAATTCCGTTAATGTCTCTAACTTGGACTATGGGAAACGCAAACTTATCCATGCGTAGACCCTCGAGTAACTTATCGTCCATTATATACTGAAAACAAGTACAACTAGTACAAGTGAATGTAATGTGCAGGTAAAATTAATCGTAATATATAATCAAAGATATTATTCATATTTCATTAACTTTTAAAAATAAATAAATATACATCAAAAATTCTATATCATTCAAAATTTACAAAACAATATATGTTATTTAATTTAATTTTTAAGTTGTCTATGTCACCGACTAAGAGCAATAATTTTTGTATAACTTTTTTCCTCTTTTACAGATTTGAAAATCTTTTTCCAGGATTAAAGTATACGCATTAATACGCGTGTCTGCGTGATAGAGTTTATGTCGACAAAAAAATATTTAAATTGATATCTTCTTTATCATTTTTTACTCCAATATGACGTTATCAATATCGAAACAACATTTGCTTGATATAAAAGCTTTGCAATCTGTACTTACGAAAGTGTGGTCCACAGACTAAGAGTTTACATAAACAAATAGGTAACGCGGAATTCTTAGAATTTGATTAAAAAGTCTAATTAAAATGCTATTATTCTAGGAAAATTTGTGTATATGTTTGCGTGAAATATTGGTGCAACAGTACATAAAGATGTGTCGCACTTTTGCGATAAATAGCAATTTCCTCGGAGTTCGGGATTCACTTTAGGATCCTCTTAATACTTACGATTAACAGACTGATTAACGTCGATAATTCAATCGTGGTGACGCCGATTTGATAATAATTTGTTATTATCGAACTTGTATCGAATTTGTTGATACTTTTAATCTTGTAATAGCTTATGCCCAAAGGTATCTGAGTGCCTCTAAGCTGTTGTATCGTATTTGGGTGTAAAGGTCTATAATTAATTGTTTTAATAACTTGCTGTACGGTCTTGATCGCAGCAGTCGGCGTTATGTTTCCTTGAATGAGACATTGAATGTACAGACATTCGGTAAAGGATTTCACAAAGTCTTGAAAGTCTTTCAAAGTGATATCCTGTAGAGCAGTATGCTTATCATTTAGTGAATGATGGTCAAGATTCAGTATCGAGAATGCCATGTCGCTGCAAGCATGAGTAAAGATATTACTGATTAGCAGAAATGTAACATGATACAATTTATTTTATAATATCAATCGTTACAATTAATATATTAATCATTTATTTTAGTCACGTAACAACTTTATAATTGTTGTAATAATGCTTTATATAATAAACAGTTAGTACTTGATGTAAATCTCGGGTACGCTAACTGCGTCGTAATATCTATGAATTTGTTGAAATTTGATACTTTCAAATATGTCCTTTGTAATCCAGCTTGAATATTGCACCATGCTTAGTGCACAAAAAGCCGCTAAACGCTGCAATATAAATATAATGATATTGTCTTGAAATTGTATTTGTAACTCCAAAGCACACTTTGAACGTATACTTACTGGCAGATTTTCATTAAGATCGCTCATTTTTAGTGTAAAACCGTTTATGTTGTCCCTGATATGAAATTTAAACTCAGCCTGTTTAGTTGGATATAATTCTTTGGCTAATAGCTGTTCCCATAATATGCAGTACATATCCATAAGAACTCCGCTGAAATGTCATTAATGCGTTCACGTCTTTTTCAATAAGATGTAAATAATTATATAAAAATCATAATATTGGTAATTATAAGTTAAAAATTGGTATACATATGATATCAAGTACAGTAGTAACTACTACAATATAGTATTGTTACATTTTCTATGCTACTTACTTCTTCAGCGACTGAAGTTTTAGAGGGGAAATAAAATAGAAATGCATACAACATTTCGGCAAACAAAACTCCGGGCTATACCAAAGCTCCGACATAGAGTTACTGTATATTTTCAAAGGATATTTCTCAATTTTTTCGTTTGGTGTCTTTATTAGATCAAGGTTGTTGATAAGGAATTTATTCGGTAAAGGTAAACAAAATTCTGGTAATGGCTCGATGACTTTCCAACGTTGGATCCACTCTTTCGGTATCTCGCTATCCATATATGCCGTTTGCCAACATGGTTCAACTTTCATTAATTCGGAATCATTAAAATCCTTTAAAAAAATCATAATATTCGCCATTTCAGGCGCCAAATAATTCAAATATTTTTGTATAACTTTTGTATTATAATTCGAATCAAGTGCGTTTTCAGTTAAATAAGCCTTCGGCGGATAGAAATGCATATTCGTACAGAATCGTTTTATGGGTTTCTCAGGGATTAGTTCTTCGTCGTAAATATTATAACTAAAAAGACATTCAAGTATAAGTGGTTTTCCACAAATATGTTGTTGATTATTCTCTCCAATCTTAAAAACATATATTTATTTTTAAAATTACTTTACCTAAAAATATTTTGATTAGTCTCATAAATGTCATTGTAAATTTCTTTGCAATGCAATCTCTGCGGATCCGCTGTCTTTAGTAAATTGATAAAAGAAAATATTGCATCTAGAACATCTTCCAGATGTTTTTGTCCTTCTGAAGTAAGTGGTATGGTGAGCTCTATTAAGCTGTACAAAGAGTTTTGTTCATTCTCGCAATAAAATATATTATTTTCTGATCTAGAACTCCACATTTTTCGTCGTAGATAACTAATTAAGGAACCTTTTCCCTCATATCCAATAATCTTCGGGATATATCGATACGAGTTACATTTATAAAAATCGGAGAACGAAGGCAAGGCCCACGTTATTACTAACTCCTAAAGAGAAATTTTTTGTATATTTATTTGTATTTTTATGTTGTATGAAACTAGATTCTTTTCTATCTGCTCAAATTTTAGTCACATACTCGTTCCAAAAGTTGGAGATTATTCTTAACCTTATACATTTTTCGGAAAGCGGGAGTATCAAAAGGGAGATCGTTTTTAAATTTGGCAAAATTATCCGGAGGCATTCTGTTATTTGGCACATCAGCAAAGCACGCTTTGACAAATTTTTCCATTGTATCTAACGGTAGTCCCGACTATGAAAAGATGTATCATGTTATGATTTAACTTTATTTTATAAACAAAAGAACCATAAAGTCTGTAAGTAATAAATTATTTTTGCGTTGCAATTTTAACGAAGTTACCCGTATTACTAGCTTCATTCTGTGAGCGCTGTAGTGGCGCTTTTTAAATTTATTTAGCGTATTGTACAATTTCTTGGAGTCTACATTATTGCGCAATTTTATTATGTGGTCCGCAGGAAACTTGTTGGCTGGATGACCAGTTTGTGCGAAGGAGGAAAATAGGTGTTCGTATCTCGTTTTGACAAATAACATCTGGAATTCTATATAAGCATGGTTAAGACTGTAAGTTGCTATTACAATGTCAAGATTGCGATTTTTATACCGTTTTTTACGAAATTTATTAGCTCCATAAATATGTGTTTTGGCGTTATATTAACAAAAAAAAGACCAAATTTGTGGAGAGCTAAAAGCAAGTTGTTTTCTTTGATATCAAAGTAAAACATTGTGTCCTCATCATTCACTGTGACATTAGTGGTGCCACCATGGTCAAAAATAAAATTTTGCAAACTAGTACACTGCAGCAAATAAGACGATACTTAAATACTTAAATATACAAATAAATAATTTTTACGGTAAATTTATGCATCATGTTTTAGTACCTCTAAATTTTTTTTGTATTCTCGAAAAAACATGTACTCATAGCCTACGACATTTGATATACCCGGAAATTCTGGTGGATCGCTGAAATTTCCTACGTTCACGCATAAGCTACACGCTGCCTGTTAAAAAAATATGAGAGTACATACATCACGCGCATTACCCGTAGTATTAAGTGCAGAATTGAATATAATCAACAAAATGACTAAGCAGTTTGAAATTGTATCACACTTTTCGAAATCAATTTATGGAAACTTTTCTGCAGTGCAGCACATTAAATTTTTTAAATCAAAACTTCTAACAATACACTGCTTAAATCTTATGAAAATAGATATTCCTTATGATTTTAAAATTTATTGTTAATATTAATTTTAAATATAAATTTTGAATAAGTTAATTAAAAAAATTAGTAAGTCATAAAATGTAAATTAAATTGTCTTTTTTATACCTTTTTTTCTTCAGAAGAAGATGTTGTTAAATATTCATCGGATATTAGCAAAGCTTCTAAACCGTTTGGCAATCTGATGGCTCTAAATTTTAAAGACAAAACAAACAATAATTAAATGAGATGTCAGTAAGAATATTGTATACTTTGTCGATCATTTAAAAAATTTAAATGTATTGTGTGATTTCTTTCAAGAGATCTTATTATGTTTCACGTCTACTGCAATCGAAGTCGTGTTTTATACTGCTGAGTATTTGCTCGCGTTTTACCTATATTCCTTCTTGTCGTTCTCCGATTTATCGGGCTGATCCAAATATTCAACTTGTTGGCTCTCCGCACGATCATAACTTTTCACAACTGGCATTATGTCAACGTGCAGAAAATTAGAATCGAAATTATATCGATTTGTGAAATACGACTTTATCCGGAAAAGCCTAATGATTTTAAGTTCTTTTCAACTTCCTTTTCGATAGATCTGACACCATTTGAATCAACACATTAACTGAAAGATCTCCTTTCTTTGCACATATTCTCGAATAAAGGTGAATGCGGCTAATGTCTAATGTATATTATATACGTAGAAGTTTTAGATGTTTATTTATTTGTATTGTTCACATATTGATCTAGAGAGTTGGTATTCCTAGTCCGTTTGAATTTAAAACTTAAATATGAAATTGTTATTTATGTCTTAAATTGTTATACAACATTCTTATTGTATTTTAAAACATTGCTAATTATTAGTATTTGCAGCATTATTAGCATTTTAAGATATTGCTAATTAAAATAACAATTATTAATTGAAATAAGAAATTGATTATGGATATCGGTTTATCTTATTATGATTATTGGTGTAATGGGCTTTCTTTTTACAATAAGTCAATACCTAAACTTTAATCAATTATAGTCGCTTATTTCTCTTATATTCAACTGTAATTGGTCAATTCTTTACAGATTAAGACTTAAAACTTAGGTAATATGGTTTATCGTAAAAAGCCTATAAAAGAGATTCCATACGTGTTCGACCTGCGCTAGCAACTTGAGTCAGTTCATCTGGACTGCACGCCTAGATGGAAAAGCGTGCGATTTAGGACTAACCCATGCAGTCGTTGTTGAAAGAAACAGAAAGCATACAATGTTTAAATATGATTAAATAGAGAGTATATGACGTTTGAAAATTCCCGCATATTTTCCTATTGTTTAATTCAAAGACATTGATAAAAACAGTCGGTATTAACGGTATATAAGTTTAAATTAGAGTTGTGCGTTTACGCATAAAATATAATAATCTGTACCTATATACGTATTAATGTGTACAATGTAGAACTATGTAGATTTTTATATATTTTAATTATTTTTATGTAAATATTAAATAATCTATGATCACTGAATTAACTATCGTTGCAGATATTAAATATTATTATTATTAATTAATTATTAAGTAATACATTAAGAAAGATAAATACACGAAAGTACGTAAAAGGTAACAATAATAATAATAATATTAAGTAATAATTACGTAATACTGAGCCCATTAAAAACGATTAACATTATTATAATATATTATTGTATTAAGAATTTAATTTCTGTTTCTGGAAATAGTAGTCTAATTCCAAAAGTTAGCTAAATTTGCTCGTGGCTTTGCTTCTCTATATTTTTCTCTTACGGTTTTAATTTTTTCTTCGTATAATAGTTTTTCCCAGTGTATTGTCTGTAATTCTCTCCTTTTTCTAAATTCAGCTTCCTCTTGTATAAGTTTTCTTTTAAAATTTTCGTATCTTTTTCTTGGTAATTCTTTTTTGAGCGGGTTAATTTTTTCTGTGTTTTCTCAATGAGTTCGATTTGATCTAGTTATAAGCAGAAAAACTTGTCTGTATCATCAAATGACTATCTTTTCGTAGATCTTTCTTAAATTTAATCGATAGTATTCTCTTTTTTGTTGCAGATCATGGTGTGAAATATGATTGGTGATGGTATTGGTGAGTACAATTTAGGGTATGGGTGATGGATTTTTCTCATGGAAATCAATATATCTTTGAAGTCAGTGCGATTCATTTTTAATGTAAATTTTTATATGTTGATGTAGATCTTTGTACGAATTAAGTTGAGTGAGGGATGTAGTATACCCTTCTTTAAAAAAAGTTTTTCATTTACTTTTCGGTTTTATTTTATTATACATGTATTAACATTCGTATACATGTAGCTAAAAAGAATAGGTTATATTGCTTACGTAGTAAATAATGCTTACAAGAATCGTGCTGATTTACAACAGCATGAGTAGAGATTTATATATAGTATGTCATATTAACAAATTATATTTTGCACATTACGGATTAATATTGATCGTTATAAAATAATTTTGTATGTACTTGCATTTGCAATTGTGATGCAGATGTGCAAAAATATATCACAATTTTTATTGCGACAAGGAAAAACACATACAACACACTGCTTCTCACGATGTTATTTATTTAAGCCTAATATACATTAAAATCTATATATCTCATAGTATTTCTATTATATAATATATAGATCTGTTTCTTTTTCGGTGAGATATACAGCTGAAGGAATATTGCAGTTTAATATAATTTTGATATTCGTACACAATAATGTATCAATAGCCTAAGTGTCAAAGCGTCCTGTAATGGCTATTCTTATAAATCTATCGTTTAGTTTAATTATTATCGGTGTATAGACAATTTATTGAATTAGAAACAATTTAATTATTCAGGTGTAGCAACATGGTGTTTCATTTCATAAGGAATACGGTTAATACATCAACTCTTCTTTTTTAAATGACAGTAGTTAAGAGCCACACACAAAATGACATAAACTGAATAAGAACAGTATAAGGCTCCTAGATTAATAGCATCCGACATAAAGACGCCACGTTGATTTACATAAGCTACTCATTAGTCCAGCGGCCTTATGCTGTGATTATGCAACTTACATTATTTTGTGTGTGATGGCCTTTAGTGTATATCTACACAAACTTGTAGTTGCATAAATGCACAAAGAAAATTATCCAATCGCATTTCTCTTATAAAGACGCACGTAAAATGTGATTGGGTTTTCTTTATGAATATATTTATGCAGCTATGTGCTAGTTTGTGTGGATATACCCTTAGGTTTGACATCTCGCATAGCGAATTCGATTGGATGCACCCAGTGTGCACTGGTGCACATTAAAACCGTTGTACGCAAATTGACGTAAAAAAATGTGTTTAATATAAATATAAAAACGGATTAAATTGTGAAATCTTCAATACGTTTTATTGTGCTATTAAGTAAAATCCGTATTTTATAATTCGAAATATTTGCATTTTACTTTTGCACGGATTAAATCAGTATAACGGCTTTAATATGCATTAGTGCATCCAATCGAATTAGCTATTAATTACGTTGTGAATTTATTAGCCGAAAATTTCGTGTAGGAAAAAATAATAGAGTGATGGAGAATATTTAATGACGATAAAATCGCAGCATTTATCGTAGCAATACATTCTCTTTCTCTTCTCTTCCCGTTTAAATAATATAATATTAAGTAACGTTTTAATTTATGTAATATTGCTAAAAATTACATGCTAATATCTTCAAATTCCAACTTTGGAGATTCGAATTTATCCCACAAAATTTATTATTAATCACTATGTCAATGCTTGAAAATGTAGGAATCAATAATTATCCTTCTTCTAATTCGATTATCTTCTATGGTACATTTACAAGCTAACTTTCTCGTCTGTCTTTAAACGAGCAAATTTTCCTTATAAGTCCATATATTCTTAAATAATATTTAAAAGTATGTATGGGACGTTTCAATCGGAACAGTAACGCGACCAGAATTCTATGCAACAAAAAATTAACATTGGGATATCAAAACATTCACATAGGACCCTAGTTTTGAATTCCACTTGGTCTTTTAAAAAATTCAATGTAGGGGATCCAATATGGTAGACAAAAGTGAGAAAAACGTAGCTAGAAAATAAAGAAAATTGATAAAAGCAAGAGAAATAAAGCATAAATGTCTCATATATGCCAAATTAATTTATGGGATATACGAATTTTGTGAAAAAAAATCGAACCAATAATCTAAGATGATGATTTCAAAGTGACAGCTCGAATCAGTAAAATCAAATAAAATTATCTCTTCAAGTTGATTATAATTTTTCATGAATTATTTAAAACTCTCTGCATTTTATAGGGTCGAGACTATCTCTATATTAAGCTCCAAGAGCCTGCATTATCTTTTTAACGTTTTAACTTAAAAAAAATTTTTTTTTCATTATATTCTTGTTTTGTAATTTTTATAATTTTTTTCAATTTTTTTCTAATGTTGTACCGTATATAAATGGTTAGTAGCAGTTGAAAATCGTAATATGTACTTTCAATTTTTTACTCGATAGAAATTATAAAAGTCCCTTTGGAACGTTAGCCACGCGTGGGGCATTGGAGAATCTTTTCGTAAGAAACCTCTAAGTTCTTTAATGTTCTTTCTTGCTATACGACTGTTTGTATTCATATACAAATAATTATTTTATAGCAAGAAAGAATATTAAAGAACTTAAAGGTTTCTTACAAAAAGATTTTCCAATACCCCACGCGTAGCTAATATTCAAAATGGACATGCTTTTATAATTTCTATCGAATAAAAAATTGAAAGTATCAAGATTTTCAACTGTTAACTTTATATACGGTACAATACTGGAAAATAATTGAAAAAATGATAAAAACCATAAAATCATAATATAATGAAAAAAAAAATTTCAAAAGTTAAAACGTTGAAAAAGATAATGCGAGTTCTTGGAGCACAATACAGAGACAGTTTCAACCCTGTAAAATGCAGACAGCTTTAAATAATTCATGAAAAATTATAATCAGTTTGAAGAGATCATTTTAATTGATTTTATTGATTTGAGCCATCACATTGGAATCGCCATCTTAAATTTTTGGTTCAATTTTTTTTCACAAAATTTGTACATCTCATAGATTAACTTGGCACATACAAAACGTTTGTGTATCATTTCCCTTGTGGTTTTTCAATTTTCTTTATTTCCAGCCATGGTTCTTCTCACTTTTGGCTGCCATATTGAATCTCCCACAATGAATTTTTCAAAAGACAAAGTGGGATTCGAAACTAGAGTCCTATATGTGAATGTTTTGATATACCAATTTTAATTTTTAAGCACATAAAATTCTGCGATACAGTTTCGGTTGTAAAACGTCTCATATATAAACACTGTTTTAAGAAATAATAAATTCAAATATACAATATATACTATGAAGTAAAACTATTATATTAATAACATCGTGCAAAAAGGATGTGTTTAAGGAATCGTTTGTTTGCTACAAAATCACGTTAAACTTTTCTACGTTTTACATTAAACAATTTTTGCGATCACGGCGATTCGTATAATTGCATAATTGTAATAATTACATAAATCTCAAAGAGACTAGTATAGTTAAAGGATTTGGCGTCGAAATCCACTTCACATTTGTCCAGAAGGCCTATTGTCGGAGACAATCTTTTATAAATGTACAGGCAAAGCACAAAAACCATCACTTACATGAAATATCTTACGCAACGCGCACACCCGACATTTTTACATATTTCTCGGTCAAAAGTGGACTTGAAATATACTTACGTCAATCTTTTCAAATCATCTCTCCATTATCGTTTCTCCTGTATTTTGATTCGGTTAACGTATGATTTAACATATAAATAATTTCTGTATTTATATATATATGTACATAGACTGAATCTTACATTGATAATTCGTAATAATGTATGTACATATACATGTATGTATGTACATACATCGATACACATGTCCGTGTATTTTATCGTGAACGACACTTCGCTCTTTGTATGTTTTTCGATTAGCGAATATTTAGCTGAGCGTGAAATTTGTAATCGTAGGGTTTTTCATATATTATGTACTCTCATTGAAAATAAAGCCTCCGCTGATTTCCTGGAGTGGTAGAATATAGATCTCATTTCTTCCTTCTTGAACGACGAAAAGACCGGTCGATATGTGTCGCTTTCACTTAAATAACTTAAGATTTGACTATGAGATCAACAAGATGCAAATACAATTGAATAAAAATTAGTGAATAATCACGTATAGGCAATTTATGTCTAAAATATTGTTGCATAGTAATTGCTAATAGTAGGGACAATGGAATTAATTATTACAGTATCACGTTGACGAAGAAACAAAATAATTCAACATAAAAGACGATTAGACGCGTGGTAGTCGAAGGGTTCCGAGAAAACGATGTAAATCCATAATTTCTAAGATTCGTTTAGCAGATTCTATGGTTTATGGAGTTACCGGATTATTCCATCGTGCTCTTCGATGTACCGATGATAATTCGAACAGATGGATGATCGCCGAAGCGAATATGTCGACCAGTTATTTCCGCGGATGATGTCGTTGTCAGAATCCTCTTCGTTTCCCTTTTTATCCCAAATACTATCACGTCGTGTCGTTTATACAACGCTGTGCATACCGGCGTTCAGGTTGCCGACGAACGCGGCTCCAGCGGTTTGCGGCGAACCACCCCCTGTCGCAGCGCCCGTCCCCCCTGCACCGCCCGTAGCTGCACCAGGTCCCGGGGCTCCTTGCAGCGTACCCTGCGGCATCATACCTGGTGGATAGTTGTACGCGGGTGGAGCCGGCGCCGATTCCGGCATGAATTTCACTGAAACGTTCAAAGAAATATTGTATTAGTGTCTGATATCGGAGCGTTTTAGAATTATAACGTAAAACGATAACGGGGATCGATACGAAAAATTCCTTGCACATTGTTATATTAAATATAACATCTTTTCTCTACAGTAGTTTTTTAAATTTGTGAGGAGAGATTTATTCCATGTATGTCAGTTTGTCAGAAAGACGTATCAAATCGGATTGAGATTAGAGATCGAGTGAATAAACACGAATGAAAACAATTTGCTTCAATGAATCGCCAGTATGATGGCATTGTTTGCGTTCATTGAAGCAAGTTGTTCAATCGTGCTTGTTCATGCTCGTTCGCTTGATTCTACTAGAGCCCACTTTTCTAATTGTTTTTTAAATTGTTTTTTGTTATACTAATATTGAAAAGTAACATTGATTAATATTAATTAATTAATTTATTATTGTATTTTATTTACTGCTGCATAGGTAAACAGAATTAAACTTTAACAAAATACTAGCTATGAGTAGACTTTTAGAATTTTTTCTTAGTAGTAAGAAAAGAATTTTTACCATTGCACATTTAAGAGTAATATGATTATATATAGATACAGTATATATTCACATTTTTGTTTTAAAGTTTTAATTGAATACCGAGTTGAATACAACAGCTTTTCGACGAAAAAAGGTATAAAGTGAAAAAAATCACAACTGTTAATAGGAATTGAGAATAATTTGTCGAAAAAATAATATCTCTGTTAATTATTTTCTGTATCTGAATCATAGGATCTATCTTTTATCTACGGCATAAAAATAATATGTCGTATTTGATATCTTTTATTCCCACATTTTTATAATTAACACACAGAAACATATAATTTGGATAAATAAAAAATATACAGGTTGTACAACGCTAGAACACAGAAATTGTATTGATATTTTCACTTTTTTTTAAACAAGTGTGTTATATTACAGTGTTATCTCTCTTTCTCCCTCTCTCATTCTCTCTCTCGCGCGCGCTTTCTCTCTCTCTCTCTCTCTCTCTCTCTCAAAGTGACTTTATTCCGTTAGATAATAGTGTGTAGATATTGTCGTGTTTTACTTTAAATTTCAACATATGTGCGCGCGCCCGGCACCATTTGTTACATTAACGATAAGTTGAAACAGTTGTACAAATGGACAGTGAATGAAATAATTACGAAGCGACAGTAATTGGACACACACATATCACTGACGTGTCTTCTACTTTCGATCAAACGATCACATGGAATGTGAATTTATTATATTGTATTATAATATATTCATGTTATTAACACAGCAGTATTTAAACGAATATATAATGACTGCCTGACAGTGTGAAATAATAATAACTGAATAATGAAATACACAATGAGATGGAAGCACATATTTTACGCAACTGTTGGACAGAAAAAACTCGTAAGAGAAAATGTAAACGCAGAGAAATAAAAGTCAAAGATAAAATAACATGTTTACTATAACTTTTTTTTAATATCGCGAGGCTACTGATATTAAATGTTATAATTGGATTATTGCAATTATTAATTGACAAAAAATATAAAAAAGTATTAAAAAATTTAGATTTCAATAGAGTTTAATTATAAGGAAATATCGATCGTACATTCATTAATAAATTAATAATTAGGAAATGATTATAACTTAATTATAAAAATATGTCTTTAAATTATATATTTAAAAAAAATATTTAATTTAACAATTTTGAAATGTACTACACAATCACGCGATTGTCAGTTAAAAAAGCACATATTGCGCATCATTTCATAATAGTACTTAGTGTGCTACTTCACGACTCTGCTTCACTGAGGAAGTATAGATTGAAATCAAATAAGAAAGAATATAAAAATAAAACTCTTAAGAAAGTAGATAAATATATTTAAAAAATGTACACCGGCATACAATAGCAAGTTTATTGTTCTTACCTCTTTTTTGGATTTAACGGATATTAGGCTTTATAATGATCCTCTTCCTGGAAGACGCATTGCAATATATATTCAATCGTCAACAGGTGTTAAAAAAATTTTCTAACTTTTTTCCAGTCATAACCGAATAAAACCTTTTCTTCTTAGAAACGTATCTTGTTTTTCTTTTACGTGCAGCAAAATAAAAGAAAGAGAACTGAGAAACGCGTGGCTTTTATTCATTAATATAAAATGCAGTAATAAAAATCTTAGAAACGTCGGTGTGCTTATAAAAAATAATAGACGTGTATATGTATGTAAGGATTTTACGATCGAAGTACGATTTAATCAAAAGTAAAAAAAAAAAAAAGAAAATTATAATCGATCCCCTTCTTCGTTGCCTCTTCATAACTTCAATTCAACTACGCAGTGTATTTTTTATTCGATACTGTACAATTGTTCAAAGCGCAGCATCAGGGTCATATTCGTCGTTAATAATTAGGGATACGTCGACACGGTTAAGATATGACGTACAGCTATGTGTTGATAAGTTGATAAACATAGAATGATCGTTTTTAAATATTATAACTCGGGTGTGCAGCCATTTCGCGCGACAACTTCGAAGAATTTCTCATTCGTCGATCGGCCCTTCGCTTTTTCATCCTTGCGATTATTCGCGATTCAGCAAAAAAGCGTATCGCATTAACAACTTGTGGTCCCCAATGATTCCTCAATGAGATTATCAATATTATTTTTAACAATGTCATTAAAAATTAATTACAATAAATTGCTAGGTGACAAATATTTGTGTAAGAAAAATCAATTTGAAAAAAGGTAGAAGAAGATTAGATGATTTCTTTATTTTATTTTGACCAATTAACGCTATAATTAAGTACATAATCAGATCGTTCAATAATTGCAAACAATTAATATTTGAAATATTGTCGTAAATCTCGCTTCCTAAAATTTGTCCTAAAGTGAATCCCGGCGCGAACGAAAGCAAAGTCGATCGTATTCTGCCGATCGACTCGATGAAAAGCTCTTCTCTCGCTTGATGAATTTCGTCGCGTCCGAAAGTCGCGACGGAATGGCGCCTGCAGGCATATCCACAAATATCGCGCGTCGGGACGGGATCGAAGGGAGGAATAATTGCGGAGGATCGCGGACGATGGTTTCGTCTCTCGATATTATTGCTGAATCAGCAGCAGCAGCAGCAGCAGCAGCAGTAGCAGCAGCAGCAGCACCGAAATCAGTAAGGATCGAACGGAAGAAGGAAGGGGACCGGATAAGATCGTCGGAGATCGACGACGATCTTCGTCGACGAATAATCGGCGTGTCGGGCACAATATTTGCTCTTGTCGCTAATAAACGTCTTATCTCGCGGATGAACGATAAGAGGATGATCGAGGATGGAGCCTTACCCTCTCGGATATTCTCGAATCGAAATGACAAGAGTTCCTCTCTTTCTCGGCGCGATCGCATCCGCGAAGCGGGCAAAGCAACCCCCTCTCCGTCGTTTTTATTATAATTATTATTAATATTACCATTATTATCATCATCGTAATCGTTATTATTAACATGTATACATAACATCTTGTAGATAATTCATCTTTAAAGCCATAAAACGTTACTTATAGCTGCTGCGCCTCCCTACAACAAGGCGTTTCTTTTCCACCCCCTTCGTCTTCTCACCCCTTTTCACTTCTCCTTCTCTTTTCTTTTTTTTCCCCATTCTTTATTATTTCTTAGATTTACTGTACACAGGCTGCTCGAAAACGTTGATCGCCGTCTTCGACGAAGGCAGGCGATTGTCACTATATTATTTCTTTTCCGTTTACTTCTCTCCCTCCTATTCCGTCCCTCCCTACCCATCGATTTTTTCTTTTTCATTACAATTCGCGAAAAGCGAAAAGCAAGATGCAAGACAAAGGAACAATTAAAGGACACAAGTGACTCTGCTCAATATATAATTGGAGCGGATTGAATCCGATAAATGGCGCGTGAGAGACAAATGATATATTATTTACAGTTTGCGTGATTTACATTTATGTCTATAAAGTAAATGTTTCGATATACATCGTGAACGCGTCGCGTATGTACTACAGCAACTGCCTTCGTCGGAGAGGTTTTACATGATGGAGGTTTTTACGGACACCCTGTCTTTCTTTATCTTTTTCTTTCTATACATATATATATATTTATATATATATATATATTTCCTATATATTTAAGTATTATGTGTCGCTGCTATAACGAATTTTCTTTCTCTTTTCGCGAACTTTTCGCTTCTTTGTTTACAATAACCATTTGTTTCTGTATTTCTCATTTTTTCTAACTTTTTTTCGGACAATCTTAATTAACGAAGATGGACGAAGGAAAGCGCGATGCACGTATCTCGTCTTATCAATCAGCTGCGTTTAGTCATGAGATTTTAATAGGATCAGTTTTAATTCCGCTTAACAAAATCTCCAACAAAACTTAAACTAAGACCTAAGATAGATCTAAAATATCTTCAATCCAGAAATTAAGATCTGTGTATTTTCAATTTTAATTTCGCATTCGCCGAAACTTAAGATACGAATTAACGTTCCTCAAAATAACGCACTGTTGCGAAAAGAGCGTGGTAACAATGAAGTTATACACGTCAGTTGTATCAAACAATAATCTAAAGTAATAACGCGATGAAATAATGATGGAGAAATCAGCGGAATTTCGCACGTGTTAATAATCGTACGCAACCTTCGTCCATGCGAGATATGGAGACCGTGCCGGTTCGGCGTGGATCCCTCGACTTCCTCTACTCGATCCGGAAAAGGAAAAAAAAAAAAACCGCTACGAAGGGTAACAGGAAAGTTCCGTGGTCGTCGCGACGGCTCTCTTCGTTGTTCCCGCTCGGATCAACGTTTCCTGCTTCCGATCATCCGCCGTCATCCTTCCTCCTTTCCCACGATGAATCCCAAGGCCGACCATCGATCGATTGATTCCCGCGCGCGATCGATCCGACGATTACGTTCGCGGAGAACTCCGGCAGAGCTCGTCAACGGCTCATCACAATTTCCATCTTGCGAGATCTATCCCTCTAAAAACCGTCTCCTCTTCGGAAATTTCTCAGCCGCCGTTTCTTCCTTCTCTTCTCTTTCTCGTTCCTCCTCTTCCCCTTTTACCTCTCTTTTTATTGTTGCTGTAGTTGTTACGTTATTTTACTTTAGCTCTTACTCTCGCGTTCAATTTTGCGTATTGCTGCCGCCGGTGACGCTCGCTGAAAACAATAATAACATTTGGTCTCCTCCAATGAATAAGGGACGGCAATGATTCGCCCCATGTTGCTCTTATATTTTGTCTCTTCGACTTTTTTTAATTTGTTTCTTTCCGTTCTCCATCTTTTTTTTTTACTTCCTTCCTCTTTATTTCGCCATTTTTCGCATGCGAAGACTCATGGCGGATCGCACTCGGCGTGGACAAGCATTTAAATTTAATGTATATCAAGATCAAGATTATGAAGAGTATAAATTTATACGTTTTAGTAGTTTTGAAATGTTGAAAAATAGATTCACGCCATTATATCCACGACGAGGCGTTTGATAAACTAAACTCACTGACGTCCGCAACTTAAAGCATATAACAATCCATTAGCCATAATGATAAGGAAAAATTGCATGCAAGTAGTTACAGAAGCGTAAATGCGTTTATACAGAGGCCACTCGATACACACACGATACATAAATTTTCCTCTGCGAAAATAATTAGTGGGAAGATATAAAGTTTCACTTTTTGCCAGAAGTCCGGAGTCCGTCTTTTTTCCTTTTCACACTGTAGGCGACAAAATTGGCCGTGGTTCACTGGAAATTCTGGCCGAATTTCTGGCTGAAATTGTTCGCGTTAGAAGCTTTCGGCACATTCCACATAATGTACAAGCCATGCAACGCTATGCCGACATCAGCTTTCAATCGAGGAGGAAATAATTAAATCGATTGCACATGCTCCGCAATAAGAGGTCAAGCACGATACGCGAAGATCGTCCCAGAAACTTTTGCTATGATTCGTCTTTATAATATTGGAATGTATAAGATTATTAAAATATGCATATCTTGACAATATATACAGTGTATGAGTTTCGCGCTGTACTAAGAATGTTATTTAAGAGAAAAGAAGAGGATGAATGATGGGAGAGAAAGAGAGAGAAAAAGAGAAACATGCAGAATGTAATAAGTACGAATTTACTGTATGCAAAAAATGAAATAAATTGATATAATATTGTAATTAATTTTGTATATATAATATATATATATATAAACTATGAGAGAGATCAAAAATATATTTTACAAAATCAACGCAAATTATACATTCGTACTTTTAGCAGAATTTTTTTTTAATATATATAAAGATAAGTAAATAAATAAAATAAAGAAATGTAAGAGAAAGTGCTAATTGAAGAAGATTTAAATTGCATTTTGGCGTAAGAAGAGAGAAAAAGATAGAATATCGGGTGCAACAATAAAATCATAGCTTACCGTACCGAAGAGTAGAATAGGATTAAACAGAAACTTTGTTGTAGTTGTAGTTGTTTGATAATTCTTACTGTTGTCGATATTGTGCTTGTTGTTGATGTTGTCGTTTATCGTTGTGGTGTTTTCATTTCTTGTGTTTTCATTTCTGGGTGGTATTTTGTATCGTTTCTTTATTGCCACCGCAGAATTTGCGAATCACAGTGTTTAAAGCTGTATGTTCAGCCTGTTTCACGTGTGTTACACTTTTTCGGTATCTTTTTCTTTGTTAATTGACCACCAGAAATTTGAAAATCACTGCCTGGGACCAACTTCAGAAAGAGAATACCACCGAAAAGTACAGACAGACACATAACAACGATTACAGTCGTAACACACACAGAGGGTGAGGTATGATCGTGTCTTGGCAAACATTCCTTTTTACAAATTTATCGGTATTCGTTAAAGAAACCGATAGTTTGTTTCAAAATTAATTTACGCAATACATTTAAGGTTCACGATCTATAATTCGTATAAAAATTCAAGATAATAGTCTCATAATTTTATATGCTATCTAATGTAAAGAAAAAAAAAAAAACAATATAGTGTAGACATCAGAACAGTTTTATTTGGAAATCTGACGCGAATTATAGATCGTCTAAAGTGGGCTTTAGTCAACACCGTTGTGACAAATATCTATGACATTGAAACTGTTAAAATTATGATAAAGTGATTTTCTAGTGCGTCGCTTTTTCCGTCTTATGGACTTTAAAGAGACGCTCAAAACGTCGGATCAAATGCTGAGACAATTCCTAGCGAGAAAACACATGATGGCAACTTTTACGTACTGTTTACACTTAATGTTGTCTTGTACGCTGTGTTGTGATAAGAGAAGGGAATCAGGAAGGATGTCGTCGAAGATTTATGAAGGCTCGCGGTGTACCGCCACAGCGATTCTTAATTGGAACGCTTTCCAATTAAATCAGTAGTTCATAAATATGCAACGACACTGGACAGTGATGAAAAGTTCTTACGTAGGGAATACACGTAGCAACAGATAGAGCAAGTTCCTATCACAGGCAGACATAATATACATAAACATCGACTAAAAATACCAGTTTTATAAAAGCACGGATGCACTTGCACGTTTTTTGCAAAACCAATGGAAAAAATCATAATAATAATGAAATGTTACAGTAATAACATGATAATTGTATATCACAATTATCATAATTAATATAATTACGATTTATTACAAAATACGTCTATGAGAATTTTAATAAAGTTAACAATTGAAGTCGTTATTATTTTTTTAAGAAAAAAATATCCGGGGAATTCTTTATAAAACTGGCAACACTTGGTACGTGATTTGTCAAAATTAAAGACAATTTTGAAATATTAGGACGAGGGGAGTTTTTACGTGTCGGACAACGATAAACAACGAGAATGGAATTGGAGAAACGTACGGGTAGAGGTATTCAGAAAATACATTTTCTACGACACAAGTAAAAAAGAGAAACGGGGTGAGAAACAACAACGATACGCAATGTCGCAATTGTTTTGCTTTCTACCTTCAGACTCACTCACACACAAATCTCTTCCACCAATCAGCGCGCCTACATGAAGTTCGCTAGACGGGAAAAGAGAAATACATACATTTCACACGTGTTAGATGATGAATGAAAAGAAGGAAGACAAAGTGACGCCACTTTTTCTGACAGATCACGCTACATAGTGGCGTCTCTCGCGCATTTCATATTCCGCGCGATAAAGACGTGTTCTTGCAAAAAAAGTAATATACTCGCATTTTTCGGTCATAAAATGCTAGGAAATATGTAGAACTTTTGTAAAATTTAAAGTAAGAATTCTGGAATATAGAGAAAATAGATGCTCGCGAGTATGATATCTTTGGTAAAGTTTTGTGAAGATGAATTATGAGGCCAAGTAGTCGACGTAATTTTCAGGCAAAGCACGATAAACAGTTCGTTTCGGCACATTTCTTCGAGAAGCTTCAAGAGATCTCTCCGAAAGGATTTCTCAAAAGCTATGCAAATCCGCGGACATTTCGCTTCACATCGCGACGTCTTTCGCATCGTGCAAACACAATCGTCTGTATACGTAGTAGATGTTTCCTTAGCACAAAGGGTATAAATCGACAGAGAGACATTAGATGGGAACGACTGATTCAATGTAATGCAATGATCACCGTTAAAGCCATAAACTCTAAACGGCAGTTTATCCAATAAAAATTTATATTTGTCAGCATCGAATACGAATATTTGAAAATAAATATTAATTTCTATATTTTATTTCAATAAATGGTCGACACTTTCACCGTGTCCAAATGGATGAAGAAAAAAAAGGAAGTAACGCTGAATTAGTCGCTCGAAATCGGGACGAGAGGTACATCGACGAGATGGCACAGAACATTTAAACAGTTACAGTGGCAGTGTCGACAACTGTTAAACATTAGTGAATCAGTGAAACACTTACCGACAATGATGGCCAGTACAATGAGTCCGATTACACCCATAATGATCATCATCTGTTAAAAAACAAATCGAAAAATCATTATTAATATTTCGAGTATTGCCATACAATTTTTTAAATGAAATTTGACACTCACCTTTAGATTCTGTAGCCAGAACTTTCTCTTCAATTTTCCTGCTTGTTGTTCAAATTGTGACGCTCCTTGTTGAAGTGCATCTGCAAAAGCCAATTACGTAGGTGTCATCCGATTTATCTCAGATATGTTTACGTATAACTTCGAGAAAAAAGAATTCTCTCAAAATAAGAACTGTTTACTAATATTAATAATCGATAGGGGCAACGTATAGTGAAAAAATATATACTAAATTTTAAATAATAAATATTTATTTAGGCAATATTAACTAAATATTTACTAAATGTAAACGTATATTTATTTGATACAGGAACCATTAATTTGATTTAACTATCATTTTTTTATTGAGTAAACATTTATTTACTGTAAATAAAAATTTACAGTTAGTACTGTTAAAAAAAAATACGATTAAGATTTAGTAAATTTTTTTCAGTGTAACTTCATTCGAAAAGGAAAAGAACGCAAAAATATTTAGTGAGAATATAAAATAATGTAACTTATTAGTACGAAAATAGGTATATGTTTACACAAATAATAAAAGTACGTGCGTATTGCATAAAAGATCGACGTTCATCAGCCACATAACGTGGCATCGATTCGAGCGTGTCACAGTAATCGATATCAACGTATAGTCAGACGCGCAGGGTCGGACTACTTTATTGCCACGATACCATGAATGGAAGGTGTAGTTTTCCCACGACCGTATTTTCTCTTTAGCGCTTCTATTCAGTATACCGACACATTGGTCGTGAATAATAATATAATATTGCGTCGTGATATGCATACAATACAATTCGTGACCTGAATCCGTATTATAATTATATCTTTTTAAAAGTTTGGACGATATTTTCTTTTATGCGAAGATACAGCAACATATATTTTCGCTCTTCCAAGGCATTAATTAATTCCTTGACGTGCGACAAATGATATTTACCATGAATAAGTAAGTACCTGACGTAGAAGCAGAACAATCAAGTGACGTATATAATAATTAATGACTACATCAGTGTTAATGAGCGCGCGCGCGCGCGCGAGCAAGTACAGCGTGACAATGAAGCAATATGCATAATTATAAAATAAAGTATTATGCAATTTGGCAAAATAGAATCTATTTTAGGGGATTAAGTGTTGACTAAGATTAAATACAAATTTTTAACTTTGACAAAAGCGAACTCCCCGTCGCGTCGATTTTTTTAACGCAGAATTTTCGGCTGCGTGAAAAGTGGATCTCACCTGCTCGATCGTCGAGCTCGGAGAGCTTTTGATCGCGCTCGAGGACCTTCTCCACATTTGTCTTCATGATGTCGACGACTTCGTCGACTTGCGCTTGCGTCGCCTGCAGCCGCTTCTGCGAGGCAATTTGCTGGGGCGTTCTGGGGCCACCGACGATGCCGTCGGTGCCGGCACCTGCACCTGCAGCTGCATCCGGTGCTAAACCACCCTCCGTAGCCCTGCGAACAAAGACGCGATTTCGAGAAGATGACAACTAGCGTTATCACACCCAATGTATCATCACGATACAATCGGGCGTTGAACAAACGCGATCCTTTACGAATATACCACTTCCCCCGGAAATGTTGGTATAACATCGGCCAAATTTAATGCCTCAGAAAATAATCGGAATTTCGGTTATCTCAATTAGAATTCTAGGAGACTTATGCTCATTTCTATACCGCAATGTAGATTAATCCTAATCTCGTTCAACTTACTCTTCATTTTATTCTAATTCTCAGAATTAGATAAAGATGAAGAGTTAGTTGAACCCAGATTTAAACTACATTGATAGAAACGAGTATGAACCAGAAAATTCTGATTCATCAATTTTCAACTAGAATTTCAATTAATCTAGTCATTTTTTCTCGGTGCAGCGAGTCTCGTGTCAATATGGTTTCGAAAGTTGAATGCTGATAAATAAGGGCCGATAGAGGTGAATATCTTTACCCATATAACACACGCCGTCGAAACTGTATATTTATCAACGCGTATTTATCATCGATATCGCTTGTATTTTGCGGTTTGTGCACGGCGTGGGATTTATTTGTATATTCCCTCCGTACGCGCGTGCGTTTCTCCTCGATAGCTTTAAAAAGTGAAATAAACACGCGGGTGGGTGTCTCTCATCCCGGAACGCGCAAACCGGGAATTATATGCCGTCGTTTTGCCCTATGGTGCTGGATGCTGCGTGAGGTTTTCCCCATATCGAGCCGCGGGTGGAAAGCACCGCGAAAGGGCAAAGTTCATGACACGATTTCGCCATTTGTACCGTTTAGTAGCAAAAACTTGATGCGTATTAACTTGGACCACGCGTTTTCCCTCCAACTTTTCTCTCCAACTCTTAAGAAGATTTAACGACGCGACGATGGTGCTGGTACATTGTCCCCGGGCGCATTTATGATTAAAACGTGTTTGTTGAACAAGCGGATGCGGAAAGAGAAAAGGTCATTGATAATGTCGACTACTCGTGTGACCCCAGGAGATTGTAATTCAGAACACACGTGCACCTACACACGAATATTTAAAGTCAAACGATCGAGATCGTTATGAACGACTTTGTGAGCATTTCATTAAGATTTTGGATGAAGCCATGTGTTTGCTAAATCTTTATGATACTTTTGATTAATCGAAAATATTTAAGATGTTTCTTTTCCTTTTTATATTCTCTTTTTTTTTTCCTTCTCTTTATGTGTCGGATTAATTTTAAACCTTACTTACGAGAAAAAAAGCACTTTGTAACAATATCCTTTATTATATAAGACCGTTTTAGACAGGATTAGATGCACAGATCTCTTTATCTGTTGTATGTGGAAATATCTTGGGTGGAAAATTATATACATGTTATGGATTTGCACGACGTTACTTGGAATATTTAGGATACTTTTGATTAATCGTTGAAAATACTTAACTGATTAAAGAGATGTTTTTCTCGTACATCTCGCGTTAATATGAAACATCCTTTATTGTGTAAAACTGTTTTAAATAGGATTAGACGCACAGACCTTTTCATCTACTATATATGGAAATGCTTGGGTGGGAAATCATGTATATACATGTTATGGATATGCATATCGTTCTGTAAATCTCTTTTCTATAGGATTTCCGACAAGCTATTTGACCTTTTGAGGCACTGTTGCCAGGAATACCAATTTAATTACTCAACAACTTATGTACCGGGATAATTAAATCTCCCATTCCTGTCTTGACATGCCATTATTCTATATTCTTCATCATATAAAGTCTTCATTAAATATATTCTTTATATCAATTAAATGATCGTCGACAAGGACAAAAGCTGTAATTTGCGTCGACAATACGGTCGAAAAGGTTAAGAATTGAGGGGATGGGCGGAATAAAGACCTAATTACAAAATCTTGATATTAATAAAAATTAAAATAACTTGCTACTTTTTTTATTTTACATAAATGGATACAATATTAAGTGAATTTAATATATGTAATGTCTTTAAGAAGTTGCATGTTATAAATTTTCTCTATTACGATCAATACTACATGAAAAAGCTAATTGCCTGAAAAAGGGCCTAAGTAAAGAATTGTGCCTTTATTCCGTCCATCCCCTCAATTGTCGTATGTCGTTGTAAGCTGTCAATTAATTGGCTAAATGAAATTAGGAAAAAAATTACGCAATTATATCGTAATAAAATCGATGAATCTATATTAATTCTTGCAGAGAAAGCTCCGTGCTTATCAATATGTATAAATATCTTGTTGCGGCGGGTATGCGTGACGTAAATCGCAGAGATTACGAGTCGTACGTGTTCGTAGTTACGGTACTACGATTTGGAAAAATGCCGGCTACGCGCGATGGCGGATTGAAAAGCGGTCGGTAACGGGTTGCGGGTTTTATTTTTGGCCTAGCGATCGAACGACCGAGTGGCAACAGCCGATCGATCGACTATTCGAATACCGTCGGTGGGAATAGTTTAACACACAAGAGAATCGTACGTGCTTCTCCTCCATATCGTTCCCATTGAGATGTCGGACGCGACGTCGGAATATTCGGTCGCCGTCGTCCGGTATCTGTCGCGAAATTTCGACGCAATTCTCTAGTAATATATTTTAGCAGAATTAGCAGAGTAATTGATAAAATCAGTAATTTATACCGTTACGTTCTCTCATCTGTCTCTCTATTTTTAACTCGATTAAAATTGTATAATTATATCGATTATATTTAGTAATTATTCTAAATTGCGTAATTGTATTATTATTGCGTTTGAATGTTTGCGATATTTCCATATATTAGTACAATTTGATTGCTCATCGTCGAATATTTTTTCGACACGGTTCGAAAATTTCTCCTGTTATTGTTGATTGCTTCAATATATTTACTTATCGCGAGATTGATAAGAGCATTTGTTTCTAAAAATACGAATACATTTTTTTATTTATTGAAATGTTTTCTGATGAACATGAAAATTTCTGCTGCTACTGTTTATTTTATAATATAGCTGTTTGACATGTATCGAAATATTATTCGATCGCCATAGCTATGAATTGTGCGCGCAAATGCCGAGAAATATTCACCCCATGACGTAAAATAGGATACATAATGGGATTAATACATCGATCGCGGATACTGCTCCATTCTTGTTATTAGATTAGTATAATTCGCGCTGAACGGTGGATATTTATGGGATATTTGCATTACACTGCGTAAAACATTAAGCTTAACATTTTTTTTATATATTTTGCTTTTTATTTATACTTTTTCGCTGAGAAATTCATTCAGTACCGTTGAAGACAAAAAATTTATACTTGCAAGAAATTTAAAATAAATAATGAAAGTAAGATATATAAAGTATAAAATGCATGAAATTAACATAGCAAATTTTTATCACACACACAAATTACTTATTTTAAAAATCGTTGAATTTATGTGAGATATTAATTCGGTACAAAAATTTTATTATCAGTAGTTTTTCAGTAATTCAGGAAGTGTTAAAAGAAAGCAGCAATTCTCTATAGTCTATTAAATCGGAACTTTCAAGGACAAAATTGTAGTCGGTATATTGTAGTTCGCCGCCGCTTCGAGGATTCATTCCGTCGTCTCTGATCGAACAATCCGGCGAACGGTTCATTGTTCGCCACCCGGATTGCAACGCATGTGTAAGTTACGTACGAACGCGCACCTTTCCGTCTAGCAAAGCTGTAGAACATTGCCGTAAATGTGCTCATCATTGATTATCTAAATATAGAAACTGCGAGCCGACATGTAGTAGCAGTGCATCGCGTTTCGCGCGATTGATCCCGACTATACATATATGTACGTGTTCGTATATGATCACAATTAGGCATCCGACGATCACGTCGAGTGCGCAAAATGCGCAAAGTACGCGATAATTAATCGCGATCGCGTCGATCGCGATTACTCTAATCGCGATTGATCAATATACGAAGAAATTCGCTGAAATGAAAAGAGGTCTGATAACGTGCTCGATATCGCGTTTTAATCTTCCCCGCAATTCGCATTGCGATTGTAAAGCGACCCGAAATTATCACGTGTCCTTCGAAAAGATCCATAGTTACTTGCCAACGACGTGTAGGCGTCGTAACGATAGCCGACAGTCAAATCATTATGCTTGAGTCACTCCTCCATCGAGATTGTTCAAGATCGCGAAATATTTGAGCAGATAACAGCGATGCTTATAAATACGCCTACGATTGGCTGAACGAGTATATTGCGTATGATCGAGCTGGGTGGATGGAAACCGGATGCGAAAGGTCATAATGAGAAAAGTTAGAAAGAGAAATAGAAAGCTATAACAGCCTGCATTCAAAAGTGAGATTAATTAAGGTAGTTCTATCGTGCTATACTATCCGATTACCGTGTTTAGTTTCCTCTATTGCCGCTATTAACAAATAAATAAATTAATTAATTAACGAATCCATCAGAATGTAAAATGATTAACACAAAAGTCAACGACAAATCTGAAATACGAACGCTAAGAAAAAAATATTTAATATTCGTGATTATAATTGCATGATAAAATAATTATAGTTATATAGCTTCATTTTTATGGTTATTACTGCTGTAATGTTAGTAATAATCATCACATATGTAGTTTTTTCAAACATAAAAATGTTGTAAATATATTAATTATGATAACTTCACAAATATTAATATAGTAAAAATCAAGATATAAATGATAAATAAAATAGACATTTTTATCTAGAGTGCACTCGCAATTATAGTGAATATAATAATTCTCTTAAATTCACTATTTATATGGTAAAAAATAACAAAAAATATATTTTTAAGAAACTAAAAATTTGCCAAAAATTTGTCAATTTCATTGACAGCAGAATTGAGTATATTTGCATGGTTGAAACAACCATAAATATATAGTAGTCCCAAAAAATGACCACAAATTACAGTTAAATTATGATAATTGCAACCATTTTTTTTCTCTCAGTGAAGTAATATAACCGATGGAGATATGGAAAAATTCTCACGCGACGTGACCGTTTCGTGAATAATTCGGTTTTTCCACCACTCACTCCACTCTTTAGATAAAAGATTCGCGTCGGATGGGGTCAGTGCATTATATGGTGTATCCCTCGAGAGGTTCGAAGAGTCGCGGCGGTTGTGGGCCGCGTTACGATTAATTTCTCTCAAAAGCGAATATACGTGCCGGGCATCGTGCGGAGCCCCGTTGCACTCTATCGGAAATTCTGCCGTGTGCCGCGGACGGACGCGGGTCGTGCGAGGAGGATCGATTGGCGGCGACAAGCCTCGGCAATTGCGTCTTAAAACGTATTTTACTAACAGGGATTCTCGCCCTCTTCGTCGAGTTGCCGCGGGTTCCTTACGCGATTCTTACGCGGTTTTGCGCATTCATACCCGCAAAATTCCATCGATCGCCGCATCTTCTCGCTGAACCGCTTTTCACGGCTGAATCGCGGCCGAGCGCGATAGAGCACGTAATATAGTCACCGTTCTACTCTAATCGCTCATTGATCTAGTTATGCGTCACAGTCTTGTGTAGAGGCTCCCCCTTAAAGAGACACAATTACGTTAATGCTTTCGATTCGTTTATGGAATGGCCACGGAATTCACTCTCGATGCAGCTCCACGACACAATCGCCATTTGTATCATCGTATACAGGCGCGAAGCTGGAAGTGTATCATATCATCCCGATTTCGATTTTTACAACGCTTGATATCCCCGATATTCGCGAGGCTTCGTCGATGAGTATGTTTCAACAGATAGCGCATTCGGAAATTGCACTCGGTGTACCGCAACGCGAAGTCTAACACGAAGCTAATGTGCGTCACCTTAATTACTCCGTTTAGCATGATTTCACAACTATGTCGTCTTTAGAGACTATTCGTTCGTCGAAACTGGCTGAAAGAAAGACTCGCTCGATTTTCCGTCTAAGATTTTCGACATCGAGAACGGTAGAAACTTGATCCTCGCAACGTCCTCGAGGAGAACCTTCGGATATCTACCGGGAGTCTCGTTCGCAGTCTCCTCCGGAATACGAGCATTCGCAGCGTTCCGTATTATTATCACGTGTACTCACATGCTGCTCGTAGTCGATCGCCTCGGGCTCTTCCTGTTCCGGTAATCCTCGTCGATTTGTCGAGATCGGCTTGCTCGGCGACACCCCCGGTCGGTCGGTCGTTCGGCGTTCGGCGCGTAACTTTTCGCGAGCAACTGCCAGCAAGACTAGATGGCCGCCGCGGTATTGATAAAATTTCCAGGAGGCACGCCGCCGTGCGATATCGTCGCGCACGCGTGCGCGACCGAGCGATATATCTCGATGGTTCACCTTCGAACTTTGATTTTCACCTCCGCATTCGTCGCTACGCGTTTTATTCGCGTTTCTACGCCTCGACCGCTCGTGAAAAGCACCCACGATCGCGCAATAGATCGATTTCCCGGGTGGGACACCTGGGGATCGGCCAACGCGGGGAAAGCACTTTCGAAAGCACGGCGGTCAGACGGAGAGTCGATCTCTCGAGACCGCAGGGTCGACGGACGACACGCCAACCTCACCGATTGCGCACGTGCACCCGACTTTGGTCGATAAATGGTCGCGATGTCGCCTCGCAACCCCCATGCGCGAACACACCCTACGCGACCGTCAGGAACGTTTCCGGGAGCTTCGGGTGCCACCCACGTTTCCTCGGCTCTTCGATTTACTTCGATAAATAGCCCGAAATTCTTCTACTCGAAACGCACGTAAAAAGCGAGAGAAACTTATCCGTTTAATTGTGTGGTCTTGTTTGTGTTAACTTTTTGTGGGAGGATGATGGAGCAGTCGCGTTTCAGCGAGAGTGGAATAATTGTGGAATTCTTGTTTTTATACGACGAAGTAGATTTAAATGTCGAGACTGACTGTTTTGAGATTGACTTGCATTTGATAAATCTATCGCGGATAGCAATATTATTTAATTTTGCATTGGTCGCTGCATTGAGGGTTGAATATGGTTGGATCGCACCCCGGAAGTTGGAACCTTGTCTCCTTGCATACGTTCCTGTAACGACGCGGTGCGAATACGCGCACGGGCATCCGCAAGATGTTTTATTTATGCCATCGTCGTGATATTCGTCGTGAGTCATGTCGGTGTCACGGTGAACGACGGCATGGCGTCGGAGATGCTTTTGCGTTACTGCTCATACGCCCGATTATGGCAGCTCGTAGTGGTAAGTAGGATTTTGCGAGACGAAAGTTTCCTTGCTTTAGCGAGAGACGGCTACTCGCGTCGTTATTGCGACGTTTAGGCGTAGCAATTTTCGAAACCGAGTTTGATTGACAAAAAGCCTTTAAAAACTGTCCGGAACCGACTCGATTCTCCTAGAAATATGCTGTTAAATACAAAGAGATATGTATTTTTTTTATATTAATCCATTCTTAGATTTAAGGTGAAACAATCCCTCGAAATTAATGGAGATAGGAGCTTTTAAAAATATTAGATTTTTGAAAAATCTAAATATACAATTATAAAGTATATGAAAAAATTATAAAAAATTTTGTCTAAAACATTTTTCTATGCATCTCACTGTTTCACCGATGATCGATAGGAATTAAATATGTATAAGTGTTAGCTTTGAGGGGTTGTTTTATCCCTTAAATCTAAGATTGAATCGATATAAAAAAATATGTATCTCTTAGATTTATGTTTAACAACATATTTTAAGGAGAATCGAATCAATTCCACAATTGCGACAGATTCCTTATTTTACACTCTTCAAACATTCCCCAACAAACAATTCAACATAAGAAACACACAAGTCAAGAGAAAGTTAAGATGACTTTATTTTAATGTCATGAAAGTCAAAATTATAAACTTTTAGATACAAAATTTGATTATTTATTGACAATAGGAATTAAAATAAAGTCATTTTGATTTTTTTGTTGACTTTTATTGTGTGTTCCTTGCGAAATAAAACACAGAAGTCATAATAAAATCATAAGGACATCATCGCGATCTTATTTGTTCTTGTAAGTTTATTTTTAGTATCAAATGACGTCATGATGACGTCTTATGATATCATTATGACTTAATTATGACTCTGTGTTCTACCCGGAAAGTTGAAATTATTTTTTATCATTTTCGCGTATCAAAATGATGATAAATAACGTTTCAACTCGTTTGCTGATTATATTCATAAAATTCCAAGTCAGCTATTAGATCCGTTCATTGATCCATAAAATTCCAAGTAACCTTTTTTTTTAATATCGTCATGAAATATTTTAATTCGATAAATGCTGTCGACAAATATTAAAATCTTTTGGCTCTCTTCATTTCAATTCAGCCGCTTGATTTATCATATCGTACCTTTCATAGTTTATTATAGGTATAATCTTCACAAAATTTATTGTCTCGTTTTTACTTCTGTCTTTTGTGCTATTTCATTTTTTTTACATTATTTTACTGTCATCAGATTTTGTATATATTTATATAAATTTGTACATACGATAAAGTTATTATGTATATACTAGCATTAACTTTACTTTTTAGAGTCCAGCCTCCATTCATTTTAACGTTATTAATAAAAATAGATTCTGTTAAAAATTCTTTTTTGTTCAGTATCAATTTATATACGTACATATTTAATGAATCTAGACTGAGCAGAATAAATGACTTGTTTTAATAAAAACTTGTTTCATCGCAGAATATTGATTCACGTACGTTCGCTTTATCGTTCGCTCGATCTAAATCTTTACGACGAGGAATATTTTAAATATATTACAAAGTTTAAAAAGTACATTTAAAACATACATTATAATTGTATATTTTATATAATTAAATGTTTATAATTACGCTTGCTATATTCTCATATATTTTAAATATTTTACAATTATAACATATATTTTAAATGTACGATGGGCAACCGATATTGTTAAATTTATACGAGAAAATTTAATACATATGCTTGCTATTTTCATATTTCAAAAATTTAAAATATATATTGTATTTTAATTGTATATTTTATATGTACATTCTAAAATTTTTTAAATATGAGAATAGCAAGAGTGTGTTAAATATTCGGTTATAAACTTTTTTTTAACTTAACTCCATTAGCTTGACTTCACTAATTGTTACAAATACGAACAATAAATATGATTTAATTACTCCATTCAGATTCATATATTTTTATAATAACTATACACTATTACATTAATTATTGCGACGTAATTTTGCCACTGTAGGGCTGTTCGCGTTCCTTGCACTTTTTGGACTCAGCATCTTCGCTTTTTCTCGCTTTAACACCCGAATTATATATATCGATTTCATTTTAAATGCAAAAATTTTTGATGATTTCGAGCAGCGCGAACAAGTCTCGATGTCTCGTCGAGTTTGCAGACTACCGTTTTTACCGACAAGATAAATCGCATTGCCACGTTTAGATGGCGTAGGTAGACACAATTTTGACAAACCATCAATGACGATAGTTCACGACAGTCCACGAGATATTGTAATTGGTTAATAAATATTAAATTGTATTATTAGCGATATCAAATTAAGAAAAGCGATTCTCGATTGAGCAGGCACAATAACGAGCCTTTTTGCTACCCCTTTTTTGGTAAATGCCTAAACACGGTTATAATAACCGTGACGTCATGATTATCGCCATTTTTTATTTGTGTCATTTGCTGTTGTCGTTGTAAACTGGTAGCCGTCATCGCAAATAATTTGCTAGATATCGTCGTGCCTCGCAGATTTAATTAGCTTCGATTGTTCGTGCATTTGACATATTTATAGGTGAGTGAGAAACAAAGCAAGCGTATCATATTACACGATATTGAGATCATTGTAGCGAGATCATCGTTCCCGATGTGATGCTAATAATTTAAACTTGTCATTTGTTATTTTTCGTGACTGTATTTTCATCGTATTTTTATGTTGCGTATGCAGATCCTCTTTGTTTATTAACAAGACTGAGCGATGAGTATTATGTAGGTTGATAAACGTATAAATAGAGCTTGTTCAGAAACATATGCGTAATTTTTGAGGTTATGGGTGTGTACCTGTTACTTATTTTGTTGATTTCTGTGGAATTTTTTGCAAGGAGATTCGTATTCTTCATATTACTTTATTTTGTTCAATCTGAGATCCTATGGATGATGATCGTAAATTGACAAAACGTTCGCATAGAGATTGTGTTGGTGGAACAGATTAGTCAGAAGAAGTCCTTGTCATTTTTTCAGGACTATGGAGGGTGGCGGTGCAGGAGGAGAAATGGGTGGACCAAACAATCCCCAGCAAGCGGGTGCAAGCAAGAAAATGCAGCAGACTCAGGCCACTGTAGATGAGATCGTAGGTATAATGAAGGTTAACGTGGAGAAGGTGCTGGAGCGAGATCAGAAACTCTCAGAGCTCGAAAACCGTGCAGATGCCTTACAAACGGGTGCGACGCAATTCGAACAACATGCCGGCAAATTGAAACGAAAGTACTGGTGGAAGAATCTGAAAATGATGCTCATCCTTGGCATCATATGTGTTATAATTTTAATCATCATTATTGGTGAGTACGCGACACAGACTTGTGAATCTGGCGTTAACGCTTCTGACCTCTGCATAGTTACATTTGTTTTTTTTTCTTCATCTTTGTGATAGCTTCGGTTGTGCCAAGTTCATCTTCAGACAACTCTGATAATACTCCAAAATGATAGCGTTGCACCAAAGGAAAGACACAGGTGTTACACCGAACAACCATCTTCTCTCTTAGAATAAGTTATATATTTGGTAAAGTACGTACAAGGGGAATTGCCAAGGCTGGAGATGAAGCGCGAATGTGAATCATCATATTTGTAATGTCATACGCACAAAAATTGGGAACAAAGAGATCATATTTTTGAGACTTATTATTGTATTGGAGTCCACACGATTATTAGACTAATAATCAGTATTAATACAAGTGGCCTTCCTTTTTTTAAACATAATAATAAAATAAACACTGGGATATTCTTATGATGTTAATCTTGTTACAGCAATGCTTATTATATTATATGAATTATACATAATATATATATAATGTTTGTACTCTTTCCGAGCGAGTTCTCTTAATATCTCGATTCTCCTCCAGCCTCCTGCCATCCGTTCCATCACACGTAATTGAAAGTAGACCGAGCGAAATTGCAGTTCTTTTTATAAAGTAATTATATCCTACGCAATTGTCATAATTTCCTTTACTGACAGCACCATGTCAAATTGTCTTGAAGTCGTTAAGAATATTGTATGAGTCACTTCACGTTTTCTCAGCGTCATAAAAACGGGTGTCAGGCTGAACAACGGTGATCCGCAAACCGCATATTTTTTATTGTGGATTCCCCTTCGGATTTTATATTGATTACGTGTCTAGAAAATATCG